CCTGCCTTCACCCTGAGTCAGCTGGGATAGACTCCAGCCCCCCATAGTGAGGATTAAGGTGTAGAAATGTGAGACAACCTGCAATTTAAAAACATGTATCTTGGAGAGTATTTTAAATATCCATAGTTTCTAGTAATTTTTTTAAAAGATCAATCAAATCAGAGCAGATGGCCAATGAAGAGTTGACATGAAACTACTCTATGAAAGATTTTACCCCTGAAGTAATCTGACTCTGGTGTGGAAGACAACTCTGTGATGTCCTCCAGAGTTCCTACTGGTTTAAATAAGGTGAGTGGAATGTGGCTGGGAATGCGTGGGGACTATTTTCAGCCGCGGATTAATACACATTTGCTGCTCCGCTGACTGTTTGCAGCAGCAGGTCGCTGTGTGAAGGAAGAGTAAAAATAAACTGCAGTGTTTTATTCATTAATTATGTCACTGGTGTGTTTTAAACAGACGCTGGACAACAGAAGAACTGCACACGTATTAAATACACAGAAAACTAACTAGAAGCATTCAGCTGTTGTTGGTTTTGGTCTTTTCATGGAATTTGTTGACAATCGTAAAAACATAGAATATTAAAATTTACCCATTTAGATAAACCTAAACTGTACAACATTAATGTTTTAAAACAGTTTATTTCTGGGTTTCTTTTTGTATTTAATGGTATTTTACAGTTTTTCATTTTTTTTGTTAAAATACAGATATTAGATAATTAAATCACTTTGACACGTTAACCTAAAAAGAACCCCACAGTGAATAATGTCTGCATGAAAAATCTGTAGTTTGTAAAATTACAAAAAAAAACAAAACAAAAAAAAAACACACACACTATTTTACAGATAGTTGTTATTTGAAAGAACGATTTTGCATATTAAGGAGTGAAAACGGTGAATCATCTTTTAACTGTTTCAAATATTTTTCCTGTTTTGTTGAATTACGCATAATATCTGGTCAAGTCACCGAAAAAAGTACGAATTAGCTGATTAAAGACAAAAAAAAGGACCAAAACTGTAAATCAGCATTTTTACTTTTGGTAGCTCATTGTTTTACTATAAAATTAAATTGTTTTACTGTATTTAAATCAACTAAAAATATAATCACTTTACTGATATTTGTTGTTATTTGGGAAAACAATGTGACATAAAAGTAAAATCACACAACAAAGGTAATAATTTACATGTTGACTGTAAAATAAAAGAAAAGAAAAAGGGATTAATTGACATGTTAGCGATTAAAAATAAAATAAATAAAGCTGTAAATAATGTCATCATCAAAAGTCTAGATTTTTACAAATGGTAATTTGTTCTTTTACAATTTGGGATTGTAAATATTGTATTTAAATCAGCTTATAGTATCAAAATTTTACAGATATTTCTCATTATTTTCACAGTTTTTTTTTTTGTAGTTTTTGAGTGTTATAGTATTCCACAGGTGTTTTTCTGGCATAGTCATTTATTTTTATTTTTTACTGTTCTTTATGGAAACTTTTTTTTTTACAGTTGAACAAAAGCTGTGTGGATCCTCAACGCCCAAAGATGCTTCCAGAAGAAAATTCCTGAAGCGTTTGTCCCTGGTTCAGCTGCTGCCGCTGACCCCTTGGTCTGCTGACAGAGACAACTGGTGGTTAAAACACACACACACACACACACACACACACACACACACACACCATCATCTATAAAGAGACCAGAAAGCTTCGGTATTTCCATTCATCTCCCTTCTTGGCAGGAATCAGCTGCAGGCAGGATGGCAGAGTAAGTTCTGATTTCACTAAAACATTTCTGCATTTACAGGATTCACAGAAATACTTAAGTCACATTTTCCTCCTTGTTTGTTCCTCCCTGAAGGAAGAAGATGTCGCTGAGCCGGAGGAATCACCTCAAGGTAGAGTAAGAACTGAAATGTTATCGTCAACACAAATTCACTTCTGCATAAGTGTTCAGAATCAGACTCAGAAATACTTTACTGATCCTCGAGGGGAAATGACTTCTGTTAAAGTCAGAAAAAGTACAAAATATATGAACTTAAATTGAAAACATAACCTAAAAATATAAACATGAGTAGAAAAATATGTCCTAAAAGTAGAAATATAAGTAGAACAATATGAGCATAAATATAAAATGTGCTTCTCCTAAGAAATTAAACAGTAATATCCAGTGCATTAAGTACTGTGTTAGTCGACAAACATCCCGGAAAAGAAAAGAAGAAAAAAAAAGTAGGGATGAAATGTGGCAGCGATGGAGTCAGAAACAATGTGTTAAAAATGACGAATCAAATAACAAAATATATCAGTAAAATAATGTTTTTCTTCTTGAAATAAAACTGTGTAATTTTATCAAATGATGGCAAATGTCTGTAAAATAAAGACTTCTTTCTTTCTTTCTTTCTTTCTTTCTTTCTTTCTTTCTTTCTTTCTTTCTTAACTTCTTTACATACAGTTAAAAAAAAAAAAAAGTGTAATTTTATTGTCAAACATTGTAAAAGAACAAATGACCGTTTGTAAAAACACAGATTTTCTGATGTGGGCATTACATCCAACATGTCATTTTTTCTGTAATTTTACAAAACAGGGAAAATCTGTAAAAATAAAATAAAATAAAAAAATAATAACAATTTTTAAATTCTTAATATACATATTTTGCCCATTATTTACAGTTTTGACCATTTTTTTTAAGGATAAAATGTAAATGAGGACTTTTTTCTGGTATTCTGGGAACAGTATTTACACAATTAAAAGAAATGTTTTCCAGTGTAGAAAACTAAAAATAAGCTAAAATAGAATCAAACACATAAAACTAAACAATAAAACTGACAGGAAGCCAAATGTTTAACAGAAGTCAGGTTTTGCCCACCTGATCAAACATGGCCGTCATCCTGACTGTGGTTCAGATGACGAAGGTCTGACGCTCCTCTTCCTCTCAGAGTCTGCTGCTGCAGATCGGCCAGTCGATGCTGGAGGAGGAGGCTCAGGACACTGAGAGGGAGAAGATGAAGTACATAGACGAGCGCTGCCCCCGGCTGTTCATCCCTGCTGGCTGCACACAGGACCTGCAGGTAAACCTCCAACACCTGGACGCACTTCACACACGGCTGCTGTTCACCTCAGCAGGCGTTTCAACTGTAGTTCAGACTTTAAGGTAAATAAGTTTGTTCTACTGCACTTGTTCTATCTGCACATGTTATTATTTTAATATAACACATCTTTTTTTTCCTTTTTTTTTAGCACATGAGAACAACAAACATCTCATAGTGGCTCTTATTGTGAAAATAAGCACAGTCACAATGTCGTTTTTGTTGCTTTTTGTTTGTTTGATGCTTTAACTGGCACTGACCAGTAAAGTCTACTGGAGACACTTTTCACTGATTCCTCCACTTCTAAATGTAGTTCTTGTGACTCTGTTTAGTCTCGTCCTCGTACTGTTCAGCTGTCAGGGTCAAGAAAGAAAGAAAAAAATCCAGAAGCTCCCACCTCAGGTTGTTGAAAAGCAGCTTATTTACATCTTTATGCTTCTTTTCAGTGTTTGATATAAAAATCAGCAAATCATCTTTCAGTCATGTTAAATCAAATGTGGATTAAAACCTAAAATAAAGGTATGAAGAAATAATTACGACCAGCAGTGAAGCTGTGTAAAGTGATTCATTCAAAGCTGTGTTCATAAATCAGTTTTAAAGTAACAACAGACAAATTACTTCATTTGAATGTCTTGGTTTGGTCTCACCATTTTCATCATTATTGTTTTCATGCAGCAGCGTAAACTTCCTTTTTTTAAAATCACTGTTTCCTGAATTAACAGCATCAAATGACAAAGTCAGCAACTAGCTGGTGCACAGTGAAGTATTTAGTCTGAATAAAGCATCATTTATTGAGGCTAAGTCAGATCTTCTCCACAGAATTTGTTAAAGACTAAAAGTGAAAAAACATGAAAGAAAAATCAGTGAATACAGCTTTTATTATTATTGAATTTCCCTTCTGGGATAAATAAAGTATTTTTCATTTCATTCATTTCATTTTATTTTGAAAGGCCATGGAACATCTAAACCCTTTCTGGAGTTAGTGCTGCTTAAATTTGCATTAGGTGCTATATTCACAAACTTAATAATATAAAAACTTAAAATAATTAAACATGGAGAGTTGGAGGTGAAAAGAGCTGTCGTTGTAATATCAGTAACATGTTCAGAGGACGGATCAACTGTTCAAAAAGTTTTAATTCACAGTTTAAATCTCATCCCTCCTGTGTTTCTACGACACCAGGAGCTCTGTCGGAAACTTCACAAGCAGATTGATTTGGTGGACGAGGAGCGATACGACACGGCGATCAAAGTGACAAAATCCAACAAGGAGGTACGTCTTTTAAAAGTCCGTCTTCTCTTTAATGGAGCTTCAAGCACCGACAGTTTAAAGACTGAATGTTTTATACATGAACTCCTTCACTCCACTTTTAACAACAAAGAGCACAAACATTTACAAGCCTACACATTTTTATTTCAAGACTATCAGTGCCTTTATAATAGGTTTTCAGATATTCACACATCTGAGCGTCTTCTCTGTCAGATCGATGACCTGAAGGTGATGGTTCAGGATCTGAAGGGGAAGTTTAAGAAACCGGCCCTGAAGAGGGTGCGGATGTCGGCCGACGCCATGCTGGCCGCCCTGCTGGGCTCCAAACATAAAGTGTCCTTGGACCTGAGAGCAAACCTGAAGCAGGTTAAGAAGGAGGTGAAGGAGGAGGTGGGTGCTTCACGTGATGTTGTAGACACGGAAAAACGTAATGATATTCACCTGAAGGCCTCTAACAGTAAAATAGATCTTTAAAGAGGAAACAACATCAGCAGCAGAAAAGACAGAAAATCATTCAATTCCACAAACACTCTTGTTTTTCTCAGGAGAAGCAGACGGGCGACTGGAGGAAGACCATCGAAGACAAGTCCGGGATGGACGGCAGGAAGAAGATGTTTGAGACAGAGGCTTAAATGTCAACGTGTTGTTCTGCTGTTGATCAGCAGCGTTTGTTTCTGTCTGTTCTGTGAGCCCACACTGTTGTTAGGCTGTGCAAATGATGAATCATTTGTATGTGTTTAATGCCAACAACTGGGTAAACAAAGAAATAGGAAATGATTCACATGGTCTATCAAAATTAAGTCACTTCATGTCTACACGTGGTAACAATGAACAGAAATGCAAAAATGGAGTAAAATAAAGTTTAAAAATAGGAATGTCCCAAGTTCTTTTGTCCTCGATCCAATCCCAGTCATATAATATTCAATATCTGCCAATACCAAGTCTTCATGTGCTACCATTTTCTTAGATAATACACACTTCAAGCACATTTATGCGTGTTTCAGGCAAAAGATAAAGAACATTCATGTCAGAAAGTGTATCGCAGAATAGCCGTGGTGCTTCGTTGCGACTCGAGGAGGTGGTCACAAGCACTTTTGTACAGCAAGCAGACAGCATGGTGGGGGTTTAACCAGCAATGGGCATCAGAGACTTCTGTCACGCTTCATAAATACCTGTATGACAGTCAATTTAAACAAAGAATCAGGTGTTAAATAAAGCCAGTCATTTAGAAAATGCTGTTGTTCACACTGACTGGAGCACTTTAAATGCAGCCGGGTCTTGAGTGTCCCCACAAACAACACATTATCATACAGGAAGAAAGTTCTGCTGCAACAGGGGTGTCCAATCCTGGTCCTAGAGAGCCACAATCCTGCATGTTCTAGATGTTTCCCTCTTCCAACACACTTGATTCAAATGATCAGCTCATCATCAAGCTCTGCAGAAGCCTGATAACGGTCCTGATCATTGAAAGAGGGAAACATCTAAAACATGCAGGACTGTAGCTCTCGAGGACCAGGACTGGAGACCCCTGTTCTATGCAATGGTTTGTGTCTGGTTGGCCTTTAAACACATTATTCTGTCCCTCACATTGGACTTCCTGGACCTAATGATACCTATACATTAAAAAAAAAGTAAAACAGGCTGTGATATATTAGATCTATTCATTTAAAAAAAAAAAATGCTGTATATTATGTATGTATATAACCACATGTGGGCTGCAGGGTGGCGCAGTTGGTTAGCACTGTTGCCTCGCAGCAAGAAGGTTGCTGGTTCGCGTCCCGGTGGGGGCACCAGAATCTTTCTGCGTGGAGTTTGCATGTTCTCCCCGTGCAGCGTGGGTTCTCTCTGGGTTCTCCGGCTTCCTCCCACACAGTGATTCTAAATTGTCCGTAGGTGTGAATGTGAGTGTGCTTGGTTGTTTGTCTCTAAGTGTAGCCCTGTGATAGACTGGTGACCTGTCCAGGGTGTCCCCTGCCTTCACAGTCAGCTGGGATAGACTCCAGCCCCCCGCGACCCTAGTGAGGATGAAGCAGTGTATATATAATGAATGGATGGATAACCACATGCAGTTTGTGTCTTTTCATTGTAATTGTTTCACGTTGCAATAAAGTTTTTGGGAGGAGGTTAGTCACATGACACATGACGTCAGGAATGCCCTGCGATCATACGGCTGCTACGTCCATCTTTCTTATACAGTTTATGGGTCTAGTTGCTTCGTCCATCTCTCGTATACAGTTTATGGTGCTCGCTAAGCACCAGTCTTGAGAACCTGGAACATAAAGAACCGGTGTTAATTCAGGCTCTGGCTCCAAAATGACGGCGGCGGTGTTTTTCGGCTGCACTTTCATCGCCTTCGGCCCTGCCATCGCGCTGTTCCTGTTTACCATCGCCCGGGAGCCGCTGAGGGTCATTTTCCTGATAGCAGGGTGAGAATTTAACATTTTAATTATCGTGGCAGGTGACAGGTGACTTATTGCGACCATGTCAGGGCGACACAGACTCCACTGCCGCGTTTAGGTAGTCAAAACCCAGTATTTACCTGAGCTAGCTTACTTGCTAGCTGGCTAGCCGTCCGCTCCGTTAGCTAGCTCTGATGTTGCTGGTAACTTCCATTTTTCCAACATCCTGCTTTTATGCTGTCTTTCTACGTGTAACAACACAGTCTGAGGTGTTCAGACTTCCATATACACACGTTTCCAACACATACAGACGATAATATCCAGCTTTACAGTCCAAACTTGCTCTGATATTAACCTTTCAAACAATGCTAACTTCCCGTTTAGCCATAGACTGAGTGGCGTTTCTTAGCTTTCCAGCCAGTTAATGTGCTGGCTTTACTTGTGTTTATTCCGAAACCACATGAGACAAGGAAAAGTGATGTTAAAATAATTAGCAAATACGGATGCACGTCTTATTGTGTCTGATAATAGAACAAGGCAGGTCTGACACTGAGGGTTTACTGGGTTGCACAGATTGTGTTCACACATCACTTTAAAATAGGCTGTTTAAACGTAAATGTGCCTGTCTACATAAGTAGTTTTATAGCTGCTTTGACATTTTGAATTAAAAACAAACAGACATCTGCACATATCACTAAATCCCTTGTATCAACTGATACATTTTTTTGTCAAATACATAAATTCTGCCTGGGATTTCTGTGCCTTTGCAACAAAAGTTAAGTTTTCAATTTGTGTTGCCTGATATTCTTAAACGCTAAATAATTAAATTCAGAGAGCTGGAGGTGACAGAAAACTGTCTTTGGAACATGAAGAGAATAACACCCCGGTTTAAAAGGTTTTAAATCTTGTACCTCCTGTGTATCTACAACACCAGAAGCTGTAGAACTGCTTTAAATTAAATGAAAGAAAAAAAAAATCCATCTTGTTGTATTTTTGGCATCAGTGAACTTTACAGAGTCACTACAACAGACAGACCCTTAAGCTGCAAGTGTTTCTCAATGTAAAGTTATCATAACTGACCTGACCAGCTTGTTATTATGTATAATATGTGGGTTATTTGTGGTTTAATTTAATTAGTGTCTAATTTAGAGAGTTGTGGTTTAAAGAAACAAGAAGTTTGATGAGTGAGCTTCTTGAATCGACTCATCTGACTTTTCATTAACATTGTGTCTGTTTGTCTGAATGATTTATTTATATTCTTTTATTTTAACTGAAACTCAGGTGTTCCAGCTTAGTATATGGAAACTTTTAGATGGGATGTTTTGGGGATGCACAGTGATATTTACATCATTATAGGTAGCAGCTGATAAACGCTTTAAATTGAAGTGATATCAGCCGGACATTAACAGTGATCGACAGATGATGTCTGACAGGCCTAACGTTCACAGTTTTGTTTGAAAATGTGATATAAAAATGAATAAGCCTTGTTTTACTTGGAAAAAACAGAAGTCTTATTATTTTGCTGGATGAATGTATGTTTTTCCACCTTTCAGAGCGTTCTTCTGGCTGGTGTCGCTGCTGCTGTCCTCCATGGTTTGGTTCATCTCGGTTCAGATCAGTAATAAGGAAAGCGCTGCGCAGCAGAAAGGTTTGCTCATCTTCGGTGTGGTTCTGTCCGTCCTGCTGCAGGAAACCTTCCGCTTCGCCTACTACAAGCTGCTCAAGTAAGTCGGTGACACAGTGTTTAACAGGCAGCTTCAGCTTTGTCTCTGTTTCCTGCACTGACTGGATGATATTATATGAATATTGTCATGAAGCCCTTACAACATAATCACCATGGCTGTGGTGGTATTCTATCCCCCGCCGCCACCAATGGTGGAAACAGAACTGTGAACACTAGCTAAACTGGCATCAGCAGCCAAGTCCTGCCTGTGCGTTCCGGCCACTTCCACCCCGTCAGATCACTCCCCCGGGGTGGAAGTGGCTGTTCAAGCATCAAGCCCTCCTTGTATCTCGACCTCCGTCTTGACAATCCGACAGCCTCGCTATCCGACATTAAAGGTTTTACATGTGGTGTCGGATTATCAAGTCATGACTGTATTTGGTTATTTGAAGTTGTCTTCCCAGCCCAGTTTCCTTTGTGCACTGCATGCAACAGCAACACATTAAAGAAATCTGCTGTATTTTTATTTATGTACGCACCATAAACCATTTTAAAATGAGGGTTTAATATGGAATGGTTACAAAACTAACGTTACTGAGGATCAGCAGCCACTAGGGGCCAGTGAAGGTTAATAATCTGATACTTATTCTGCAGTAAAATTAATATAAAACTAACTGGGATTTACTGAGGATGCTGAAACAAGTAAAGGACGAAGATGAATCCTGTATCTCAAGAATGTTAATGGAAAACAGGATTTCAGACGAACTTAGTGTTGATCTTTAAGTTAACTGCTGTACTGGTGCTTCCACAAAAGATCATTCCACTGTTTTTAGACCCTTTACTACAAACTCCATATGCTTAAAGTTACTCTCCATCCTTTCACAACGTCATGTGTTGTGTTTGACAGCCAAAACACATACAAGGGTTTTCATGCAAACATTACTGTTGTGCCTCCAGAGAACGATTTCTCACTTTTAAGAGCAGAGGAAACACAACATTTAGACATTTTCTTTGCATTGTACAAACACACAAACCTGAATTGTTGAAATTAAATAATCTATTTACACCAGGACTTAGTTTTTTAGAAGTCAAATAATAACTGTTTTACTTTTTAATATTTCACAAATCAGGTGGACTTTTTTGCAATTATCAATTTTTCAATTTGAGACTTAAAAAAAAATCTAACTTTAAGTCATATATCAGCTTTCATGTAACATCAGAAACTGAACTCTGAACCAGTTCATCATCATAATCCCGCCCCGCCTTGTGTACGTGCTCCAGCTGTCCTAGTTTCCACCTTTTAGTGTGAACTTTTTAAAGCCTTGTATTGTTGCAGCTCGGATCATCTTCCACTCGCTGAAATGTATATTTCCTCTCCTTGTTTTTGTTTACAGCACACAGTGAAACTAAAACTCTGACGCTGTTTGTGTGTGTTTTCCCGCAGGAAAGCGAACGAAGGCCTCCTCACTCTCAGTCAGGAGGAAACCATGCCGATCTCCATACGGCAGCTGGCCTACGGTACCGTTAGTCTGCACTTCACATCTCACTCACCGCTAGCTGTCTTTTGACGTCTTGCATATTTACAAAAATCTGATCGAGTATATTGGCTGGTGTTCTTTCTTTCAAAGCCACTGATGCCTCAGATTTGCTTGTGATTTTAGAGGAGCTTTTTAGAGGTCTAAGAAAACAACTGCTGATGGGCTTCCAGTTTAGAAATGTATTTAATGGGCGCCCCTATAGTTTACCTCGTTGAACGGGCGACCCGTGAACAGGGGCTTTGGTTCCCCGACGCAGTGGTCGTGGGTTCGACTCGCGGTCACGACCCTTTGCTGCTGGTCTCTCCCCATTCTTCTCCCCCCTTTTCCTGTCTGTCTCTACTGCTCTACAATAAAGGCTAAAAGCCCCAAAAATATGTTTAAAAAAAAGAAAAGTATTTAATGATGAAAAAGTGCATATTTGGTCTGAATGACAGATAGGAACATTTACCAGAGGATCTAACAAAAGATGGCGTCAGAAAGTCTGTTTTACTACAAACATGTCACCTATGCACAAATTTTGATAGTGAACACATAAAGTTTGATTATTGAAGTTGTGATCAACATTTGTACTTATTTGGAAAAATAAACGCTGCATCTATGTCCGTATTATCTTTAGCACATCTTTCTAACTTCTAAGCTGGAGCTTCTTGTGGCTTATGGCCTTAAATCATTATTGTGGCGACTAGCATTGGCATTGGTTATTGTTTTGTACGATAACTATTTGTGTTGTAAACCGAGGTTTACTTGCTGCTGTCAGGTGTTTAGGTGTGTTTACTTATTTAGAACCGCTGTAGTTTCTCTTAGGTTGTGTCTGTTGCTTAAGAAGGATCGTCAAAGTGAGAATGTTGTTGTACAGCGCAACTTTCTGGTTTTCTGTTGAATTCAAATAACTTTGTTTGTCCTCTGGGGGCAATTCAAAAGCTCACTGAGTATTTAATATAGAGACATAAAAAACAAAACAATAAACCATATGTGTTTATATTCATATGACAACAATCCTCCTTGAATCTTGTTTCAGTTTCTGGCCTCGGCTTCGGCTTCATGAGCGGCGCGTTCTCCGTGGTAAACATCCTGGCCGACTCTGTGGGTCCAGGAACCGTCGGGATCCACGGAGACTCGCAGCACTACTTTCTGTCTTCAGGTAATGACAGCAAACATTTCTGAAAACTTCCAAGTTTCTGCTGCGTCATTCATACCAGCTTCCTGTGTCCTCCTCCATTTTTTATCTGTAGCTTAGTTCAGGGGTTCTAAAAGTGGAGGTTGTGAGAGGATGTTGAGAAATTAGCTAAAAAAACACTTAGAAATGGTTTATTTTGACCATAATTGTTCCAAATATTTAAAATAGTTCAATTTAAAACGATCTGAATCTTTGCTTAATGTATAACGATCCTCTGTGGATGGTTGTTGGAAGACTTCACGAGAAATCCAGGAAACGAAATGATGAAATTCACACATTCTTGCCTGTAACGCTGCCTTTTCTTCATCGCTTCCCTCTTTCAGCCTTCATGACGATGGCCATCATCCTGCTCCACATGTTCTGGGGCGTCGTCTTCTTCGACGCCTGCGAGAAGCAGCGCTGGTGGGCCGTCGCCGCCGTCGTCATCAGCCACCTGCTCGTGTCCTGCCTGGTGAGTGTTGCCCATGTGGAGCTAGAAGGGGTAAAGAAAATCACACCGGAGATAGGCGAAGCTCAGAAGCAAGTTGTGTTCATATGATAGAAGCTATCATCATTTTGATGGTTTTTCAAGCAAGACGAATCCAAATTCTCTGCTTTCAGACTCTTAAAATTTCAAGATGCAAGAGTTTTAATTTGTCACATGCTCATACGTCATGTGCAGTGAAATGCAAGGTGACTGTTTCTCAAGGCTGTGCGACAGCAATAAGACATAAAAGGACAAATCTTTAACAGACCATAAACGATTTGTTGCTTTTTTCCGTTTTATGTGATTGTAAACAGAATATTTTGGGGTTTTGGACTCTTGCTCAACGAAACATCATCTTGAGCTCCCCTTTAGTTTTTTAGTCACTTTTTGGAAATCTAACAGACGAACAATCAGCTAATCAGGAAACAATCTCACAAGACAAGGTGGAGACAATAATCTACATTCACTAAACATTTGGTGTTGATTTCTGGATCTGCAGACCTTCCAGAACCCCGAGTACGTCGCCAGCCTGGTTCCCACCTACGTCGTCTTGTTCCTGATGGGCGTCTGGGCCTTTTATTCTGCCGGCGGCTCCCTGAGGAACCTCAAACTCTGCCTCACCTGCAAGGACAAAGACTTCCTGCTGGCCAACCACCGGCCCAGATAACGGAGCGGGCCCGGCCGGGGTGCAGGACTCTATCCAAAGATCACAGAGTTCACACAAACACACTCTGATCTGCTGTTTGACCCGAGACAAGCCTCACCGTCTTCAGTCTATTAAACAGAAAAGCAGATTTTGAAGAAACAAAGGTGGGAGATTATTTTTGATTCATGTCCAGCTCAGAATAGGCTTCTATTCAAATGTTCGCCTGATCGTGTCCCCGGTTCCTGAAAGATGAACAGAAGGTGTTTTAAGTTTGGCTCCTTCACTTACTGTAACGTTCTTCTGACAGCGTCTTGTGACAAATCTTTCCCAGTATGGATTTCTGCTCATTTATAACAAAAGCTCTGATACAGAAACTACATGATTTCATATTATTTATTGATCCTAAGAAGATTATGAGCAACAAAAACTCTGGTGATAATCGGTTTCTTATCTTCGTGTAGCTGCACTCCAGTGAAAACTCTCTGCTTTCGGCTTGCAGGCAGATTAACTGACGGTTTATTCTCACCTCTTTGTACACAGATACGCCAATAATACGAACAAGTGTTTTCTCAGTGATCTTTGAATGTTCACTTTCTTTGTTGCCTTTTTCTACGTGTTAGTTGTTTGTGAGCGAGCGCAGGAGTCAGTGTGTTAGAGCAGCGGTCCCCAACCAAGCAAGACGATTGTTTACGGACCGGTCGCATCAAAAATAATAAGCATTTTTTTCTATTAAAACGAAAGCGAATGAAATTACTTCTTATTGCTAAATGTGTATTCTTCTTTGGTCTTAGCATCGAGTCTCTCCTTCTTTTCAAAGAAGCTCTCCAGAAAACTTTTCTTAAAAATTCTTTTGGGCAGCGGTTAGAGTAACCGTTTAACTGACGGGAAGATGAGCTCGTCATTTTTCAAAATAAAGCACCTCGCAGACTTTGCCGGAAATTATATATTCCAAAAATAACGTTTTTATTCTTTCTGTGCGCCCTGGTACCAAACTGGCCCGGTGGTTGGAGGCCGCTGCGTTAGAAGATCCATGCGATGAATTTCTATATTTTATTTCTTTGCACCTGATTTTATTTGTTTCGTTGTTTGTACAGTTTGTATAGGCTTCCATGTTTCCTGAGGATGGGACGGGCGTAAGTTAAAGATGTAAACAGTTTGTGTTAGACTCTCCGCTTTGTGCTGGCACTTTATTCCATCGAATTCGGCTCATTCGCGCAGTTTCTCGTTGAAATCGTTTGCTGTGGGAGCTGTGATGATTCTGGAGGAGGCCGTCTGTGGTGCTGTTGAGCTTCACTGCAGTATAAAGTATAAAGTTCTGTCTCTGTTGTTAAATACACATGCACTGCTGTCAACAGAGTGAACAAAACAGGAGAAATCAGTTCGATATTTCGTTTAAACTATGATCACAGGAGGGCTAAACAACACTTAATGAGTGTGCAGGGGTTCAGCTTTTTACCAGCAGATGTGCCAAGTGGCTGTTTGTGGTCAGATCTGTCCTCACAGTGAATATTTTGCAGCTTTCAATGTTTCAACAGCAAAGCTACAAACACATTTGTATCGTGATGCAGGCTACGCAAGCAAACAGTTATTACCGAAGCATGAACGGAAGAAAGAGTTGCCAAAAAATGTCGTCCCCGTGTGCTCACGTTTAGCTGAAAACTAAAGGAGATATCAGAGTGATGCGGGTGGACTTGAGCTTCATGCAGCACCACAGACCACATCGCCTCCCTCAGGTCCAGTTTTAATAACTTTGCTTCTATCATTTCAAACTTTAAATGTGTACAGTACTTTGGTTGATGACAAAAAAAATAAAAACTAATAACATTCCCATCAGAAGCTGCTGCAATTTGTGTTTTTGTTTTGTTTTTTTTCACTTGGAAGCAAACGTGGTGAACATCTGCCTGTTATGTCCTGTTAGCATTTAGCTTAGAAACAGCTGGTGCAGGCTAACAACCTGCTAGCACGGCTAGCATAAATAATAACAAATGAATTCATTTACCAAAACAGATAACTCCATTTTTGTAGATTTTCAGAATTTTTTTGTTGTTTTCTTGAGATAATATCAAACTGAAGTTGAGTGGATCTGACTCAGTGGAAATGACAACAATAGAGATAACTTAAGTGTGATTGATGTTGTCTCAGGTCGACGATGGAAAAAATGTGTTTTCAGGAGGTTTGTGAATCAGGATCAGAAGCAGATTTATTGCCAGGTGTAGTTTGCACAATACGAGGCATTTGTTCTGGTGGGTTGGTGCAACAATAAATATACACAGTGAGGAACAATGAACAAGATAAAAATAAAGGTGGAGTTATCTGTTTTTGCAAATGAACTCTTCAAATATTTTCATGGCTAATATGTTTCACAGATCATTTATGCAATAAGACATTTTTTTTATGTGTATAAAATGTTTTTAAAATGTGATAAATGTCCCAAACTACTTCCTAAAAAAAAGGTTTTTTTTTTCTTTCTTGAATATGATGTTTTGTTTGAGCATCATTTAAATACCACAAATGTGTTTATTTTAGCAGAAGAAAACCAAAACATCTGATCAAGTGAGAAGATTTCTTTCTTTTTGACGAACAGTTAAAGTTGTTGCTAATTAATTATACATTACTGGCTGGTTTTCAAGGTGTCTGTGGAAACAAGCAGCCACTTATGATGATTTAATTGTTAGTTGTTTTCTCTATTATTTTTTCAATTAATTAACTCATTGTTGTTGTTTTTTTAAATGACAGAAAATTGTGAAAAATTAAGCTGATGTCATGTTTTGTCCACAAAACAAAGATTTCCAGTTTACTGTCACAGAGGAGTAATCTTCACATTTAAAAAGCTGGAACCACAGAATTCAGACTTTTCTTCTTTTTCTTTCCAAATTTCAGAACTGATTTAAAAATCTAAATAGTTTTCAGTTAATTTAAAAGTTGTCAAATAGTTGATTTTTTGCTGAGTCACTGCAGGTCAGAGGGGTTTGTCCAGCCACAATGGTTTTATTAAAAATGTTCATTAGGAAGATAGGATTCAGTTATTCTTTAAGTTTCATGCAGAAACAATCGGTCATTTCATGGGACCTTTAATGATCAGTCTGCAGGAGACAAAGCAGGCGCCAGGTTTCCTCCACAGAGCGTCTATGAGCCAAAGATGAAGAAGCAGCAGCCTTGTGTTCTCCTGCAGGATGCTTCGGTTTTCACGTCAAGACGGGGAGCTGTAAGAGTGTAAGTCTGTGAGATTAGCAGGGCAGTCAGACGGACAAGTCAGACATCAGTGTTCCATCTTAAATCCTGCTTCATTTTCTGCCTCCTGCTCTGCTCTTCAGGTCCAGTTTCCATTTATGAAAGCAGACACCTCCTGGCCGAGCAGCACAAAGCCCGCCGGGGTCTCCGAGGGCTCCGGTCGGTCAAAGGCCTTTTTACCCAGACAGCGGACGGACAGACAGACGGACGCAAGAAACGTTTCCTCTGTCGAAAACCAGACTTTCACATGCAAATGGAAGTCGGTGCAGCCGGTGACACCGAGGTCACCGGCAGTACGAGAGGCTTCAGTCCTGAGGTTTGAGTTTCTGACGGCTTTCTGAGGAGCAGCCGGAAAAAAACGAACGAAAGCAAAGGTTTCACTGAAAAACACCCTTTTTCTAAAGAAAGTACTGCTCACTGAAGGATTTAAAAGGACTAAACTGACAGAAACAAACTATTTTAGCTGTAAAATGTGAACAACTTTGAACAACAGAAGTTGTTTTGATAAATTACAGATCGTAGCTCATAAAATCACAGGAAAAGTGAAGTTTTTTGCAGACTAGCCCTTCAAACAGAGGCCAGAACTCTCCATCTTTTACTACATTTGACCAGAAAATGACAAAGTTTTTATTGTATTTAAATCTAAAAAGCTTTATTTCACAGATGTTTGCTGCTATTTGAAAGAAAATTGGTGCAAATTGGGGATGACTAAAGATTAAAGATGGTAAATGATTTTCTAACAGTTATTTTACACATTTTCACAGTTTTGTATATATATACACAATAACTACTAAAGTCACAGAGAAGAAATATTTATTTACATGTTTACCATAAAAACAAACAAAACAAGCCAAAATATATAAATTGTATCCAAATTAAAAATCTGTATTTTTAAAAATTGTAATTAATTCTTTTGCAGTATGTGACCATAAAAGTTTATTATTGAAAAATGGTAAATATTTTTTAAACCGTGAATTTAAAGATTTTCCATCTGTTGTTTGCAGACAATATGCAGCAAAGTCACAGAAAAATAAAAAAGCATTTGTCATCATGCTGACTTGGGAAAAAACAAAAAGGAAAAACAGAAAACAGCCCAAAACCCTAAGTTTACATCAAAAATCTATATTTTTACCAGTAATAATTCATTCTTTTACAGTGTATTATCATAAAATTGTAAGTTGAAATCATTTTATAGTTCATCTTACAGATTTTCTTTATTGTTGATTTTACGGTTTATGAACGTCACGTTTTTTAACTTGTTTTTTCCTTTTAATGTTTTGGTTTGCAGGCAGGTGGTGGTAGAACAAAAAAAACCAACAGCCTCTTTTTAATGTTTTTAACCTCATCTTCATTTCCTGTTTTTTAAATCAGTACAATCATTTCATTCCTGATGCAATGTGAGAATGATGCGCCGCCTTAAAGGAACAGTTTTCATACTTCTTTTAATTACCTGGTGGCTCGTTTCATTTAAAAAAAATCGACCAAATCTAAAAAAAAAAAGTTCCCTCCTGACTCCCTCAGAATCAGCTGAGTTCTATGTACAATAATTCCAGTGTATTTAATGAAGCCATGCAAGATTGCTGGAATAGTTTTGAGCCCTTTTGCATGTTTTTCTTTTTTTTTCGTTTTAGTCGTTTTTACCCCCTTGTAGCCGTTCACGCCTCTTTCTGGTTAATTTGCTTTGCAGTCACATGGTGTCTCTTTGTCGGTATTTTTGCATCTGTTTTCAGCAGCTATCATCTGTCTGTGGTCGTCCTAACATGCTTGGAGCTGTATTTATCACATTGTGGCCCTTTGTGGTCATTTTGCGTCTCTTCTGGTTCGTATCGTTTTCTACTCATGTTGACCCTCCTCCCAGCTGTTGCCCCGTAGCACTGCTCACTAATCCTTCAATACCTAAATGTGCACAGCAACGTCTGGTCCTAAACAGTGGTGGAAGAACTACTCAGATACTCTATTATAAGTAACTATAATACTATTATATTATATAATAGTTGAGCGTGAGCTGAGTGAATGATGTGTGATTATACAGCATGTTTATCTTTACATTAGAGATGAATCCTCACAGTCAGTCAGAGCCCAAAGCTCCACAATGTTTTTCTTAATTATATTTATCAGCAATAAGCAGAATTTCCCTGAATTGTGGGATATTTTCTCCATAGAAAAATTAACAGATTAATTTTCTTTCACTTTTCTAACTGATGGAATAAACTGGTTTAAGTCACAACAGATCATCATATATTTGGTGAGCAAAGAGCTTTTCTGTCTGCGTCATAGAAACTTGCATCTTAGAACAAGAATACCTGAAACATCCTGACTGGTTTTCAACAGAAAAGATGAGTATCAGGATGTTATCACTGTTGTTCACAGTCTGAGGACAGAAACAGGCGACAGAACTGAACACAATCAGAGGAGAATCTAAAAGACTCTTAAACAGGCTCTCAATGCTGCAAACTGGTTTGATTAATGGGACATGTCCAAACTGTTCTATAAAACATGTCAATATGGGCGCTGCTATAGCTCCGCTGATTGAGCTGGTGTCCCATGTTCAGGGTCTCTAGTTCCTGACAAAGAGGTCATGGGTTCAAGTCCAGGTCATGCAGGTTCTTCTCCCCCACTTTCCTGTCTCTCTCTCTCTTGATTTTTTTATCAAAAAAGGCCAAAAAAAAAAAAAGAATCATGTCAATATTATTTTTCCATTTCACAGCCAGAAGCTACATTTGCAAGTGTTAAATATTCACATGTTAAAAAAGTGAATTTGACACAGAAGAAATCCTGTCTAGAAGATGATTCTGGTGTCAGATGTAGATAAAAACAAGACCTGTCATCGTCTATAACTGGTTCTGAACAGCCACCGTCACACATGCTGATATGAGCCTTCAAAGTTTTATCAAAATGCACTTTCTAAAGTTTTTTTTTCTTTTTCTGTTGAACAGAGAACACATCCAGGATACCAATGCTTGATTCTACGACTCCGTCATAGACATTAAACAACTTCATTGCTGTGATATATCCCATAATATTGATGCTAAAAGCTGAAGAATTCTACGATTTCATTTCACAGACACGTTTATCCAAAGCAACGTACATCTGAGAGTAGATGCAAAACAAGCAGGGATCTAGTCGGGACAAAACAACCAGACGCCTGAGAGGAAGTACAAGAAACAAATAACAAAAACCTGGTTTGCTGTTTAGATTGTGACACCTGAAGTGGATGTAAAGTGGATTTGGTTACAGCATTTAACAGAACTCAGAGCCTTGAAAACGACACAAATCTACTTCAAACACCTGAAAATATTCATAGTATGAAGGTGACACTTCTATTAAATATGTTACTGTAAATGGGAAATCATCTGATTCTGATGGGAACTCACTGATTTTTCAGGTTTTTTTCCTTCCTGCTGTGATGCTCTGCTGATTGAAACCACAAGAGGGCGCTGGTCTCGTGGCTCCTGTTTTTGTTTAGACTCAGATTATTTTAAAAGAGCTCTGAGTTGGTAAATAAAAACAACACATATGATCCTCCTGACATCCTGCAGACTTCTGTTATTTTTACAGCAGATTCCATCCTCTGTTTCCGGATTCTACCATCCAGAGGCTCCGCCCCCCTGCGCGCCCACCTGCGCATATTTTATGCTAATGAGCAGGTGCAGCGGTTCTTGAGGCGCGCTGCGGGCCGCTCTCCGATGAGCCGGATGGAGCAGCGCAGGGAGCAGCGGGAGTCCAGCCGGAGGGTCTTCACCAGGTGATGCTGTCCAGAGCCGCCTGACTGCGGATCCGCGCAACACGAATGGATCCTCATTTAAGACGGAGCTGGAGAAGGCCGTGTCACCTGTTACCTGTTCTCTGCTTCATCCTCATCTATCAAGGTGAGTCTCCTCCGTCCAGCCGCGGCGGCGGACGAGGATGCTGCAGGATTAGATGGAAAATATCAAACAAACTCCTTAAAAATAGATTAATTAGTTCATATAAGCAGTGACAGAGGAGCTTAGATTTTTTTTTTTTTTAATGCAGCAGCTTGTTGGCTTTTATTCAGTTTAAGTTGTTCTCATCTGTTTTAATTATTTATTTTTTTTAAATCTTATTTTATTTTTTATTGCGGCCTAATTGATTTTCTCCATTTTTATTTGCTTATTTCGGCTGTTTATTGATTTATTTCTCCTGATTTCAGCGCATCTTTCCTGGGGTGTTGAGAGAGTGAACGTTTCTAACTGGGATGAATTTAATAAGTGAGTGTTTTAAAATTATATTTATGGTGTTATTATCGGAATATTTGGAGTTATTTGCATAATAGTCTATATATTTGTTCCTAATAATAATAATAATAATATTGCAAACATATTCATTTGTAGCCAAGATTTCTTATTCATACTGACAAATGTGTTTGTTTATAGCTTGTGTACATGTTATTTTCCTAATATTGGTAAATATATATGTTTATTTATTTGTCTGTATTATATGATTTATTCCCATCGCTCACAATTTATGATAATTGTGAATAATATTAGTGAAATATCCAAAGTTATTGTTGTAACCGGAGCTGGGATGCTTATTCGATTAATCAATCAACTGAAGCTGGTTGTTGCTTCTTAAATGTGAATTGTTTGTTTGTTTGTTTATTTTTTGGGCCTTTTTGACTGTTAGTCACACAAAAAAATGAACACACAATATATGAGAGTTGATAATTCCAGGGTGTATTTGTTGCTCATTTGTGATGCTTTAATTGATTAATTGGGGGGAACAAATGGCAAATGAATGAATTGATGAGCAGTTGCAGCTGGTTGTAGTTTGTTGTTGTTGTTGTTGTTGTTTTTTTTATTTGGTTGTTTAGTTGTTTGGTTGGTTGCTGGTCGGTGGTGGGTTTTGTGGTGTCGTTGGGGGGAAAAGCTGCAGCGGGAAACAAACCTCTCCTTGTTCTCTGTGTCCCAGCAGCGGGAGCAGCAGGATAAAGCAGCAGAAATGGGACACCGCTTCCCAGGGAGGGCAGGTAGGCAGCCGCATTGATCATTGATGCTGATGGAGCTGCTTGAGGCGGCGAGCGCACAGCCAGAGATCGCCCAGAAAACCGGCGACGCTCACATCACCTCACGAGCCTTTAATCCCATAATTTAGAGCCAGTCTTCCAGGATAAACTTCCAACAAAATGCACAGTTTGCTCAGGGGCATGCATAGGAGAGGATGTATAGATGCTGTGTGTTATAAAAAAGTGTCTCAGTGAGGACTTGAGCCACCGGAACAGCTACAATACTTCTTTGTGCTGATCATCCAAGTTTCTAGAACTCTACTGGAGGGATGAACAGCATTTTTCCGTAAGATATTCCCTCCTGTGTTTAACACGTCCGTTCAAAATCTCAGAAGTCCAAAAAAAAAAGTCCAAAAAGTGTTTTAGAATAGAACAGAATATCCTTTATTAATCCCATAAATGGAAATTTGCAGCATCACAGCAGCAAAGTGACAGTAAGAAAAGCAAGAAAAGCCAACTGTACATTAAAGAGGTGAAGCATATACATTATATATACAATATAAATAAGAAAAACAGAAGAACACAAGGATACTAAGAGCACAAATTTAAGAATAAATATTTAAGAACAGATTTATTGGGTTGAAGTCTGGTGACAGTGAAGGTCACATCCTGGAATCCTGGAAGAGACCATCAGGATGGAAATGTTTAAAGACAGATGTGTGGATTTCAGGGGGTTTGGAGCAATCATATGCACTTTTATGCACCAATTAATTCCTTTATTACACCAGTTTATAGTGGAAATGTCTTTATGTAAAGGGATTAGGGATTCTAATACAGACATTCACAAAATGTAATTTGAGATTTTATTACCTGTGAATTCAAACCGTTAAGAACTTATATTATATCTGGTGGTGTCGTTATAGATGCAGGTGCTCCAAGCAAAAGTGCTTGAAGAGGTAGTTTTCAACAGCAGATAATTCCATTTTTGTAGATTTTCAGGTAACTTATTTTTTTGTTGTTTGCTTGAGAGAATATCAATCAAACTGAAGCTGACTCAGGAGAAATGACAACAACAGAAAAAACTTAAGTTTGATTGATGCTGTCTCAGGTAGACGATGAACAAGTGGGTTTTCAGAAGGTTTGTGAAGATGGAGTTATCTGTTTTTGCAAATGAACTCATTTGACACAAATGCATATATTTCTGCACCAAAAGCACACAAATGCCCCAGAGATCGCGCTGAGGCTGCACCCAGATGACACGCAGAGATATAAGCACTAAGAATGCACATTGTTCCCCACTTCATGGCTCCGCCGTGACATTTTGTTCCTCAGAAATAGACATGTCAGGGAGTCCCAGCAGGAATATACAGTGGCCGCTCTGTTGTCTCGCTCTTCCTCTATCTGAGCCGATATCTGCCTCAATGCGGTCGCCCTCTTTGTCCGGCTTTTCTTTGGCTCTTGGAGGCGTGAGAATCCGGTCCAAACTATAGGAGCTGGTAAACCAACAAAGCAATTAGCAGCACAGGTCAGAGGAAGAAAGAGCGGATTTATCTCAGGTCAGATCTTTACCTGCGCTCAGTCAAAGCGTCCTGACCTCTGGGTGCTGCAGTTGTTTGTGTTTCATATCTCTGATAGCCATCGATGATTAATAATTCATAGTCATACACCCCTAGACCCCCCTGGTCTTCATTCACCTTCGCCATCTGCTTTGTTCCGGCTCTTGTAGATGAAAGCTGGGTTTGAGAGCTCAGGTATCCAGGGAGGCTCAAGGTTTCTGATGGGAATATTTTCATACCAAATCTGCAGCTGTAGTATACTTTCTGTTCAAATGCAATCATCAATTCGGTTAGTTTTCATACCACAAACTCCCAATATCCACCCAACACTTTGCGCTTTAGAGCGAGCTTTACCAACCCGAGTCCCAGTAACCTGGATGAACATAACAAAGAAATGTGTAAGCTTTTGTGCAGAAGTATGTGTGTTTCCAAGAGATTCAACATGTGTTTTTGCTTAATGAAAAGACTTGCTTGGAGAATCCAGAAAGAGGTTGGGTGGGGTGGGTGACCTGGATGGGAATCCACAGAGGAGTCATTAATGAAGGCCGGATGACAGCCGTTTTCTCTTGAGCCTCTTCTTTTCCCAGCGTTCCATCCTCACCGCACGGGACTCTGGTTTGGCAACAGCCAGCGTTAATTCTGGGAGGAATTTTGTGTCCCGACAAAACACAGAATTGTAAAAGTTTTGGGTGTCCTACAGTTTAATCTAAGTTTTATTAATCCGTCACCCGAGAGCGCAGCTTGTTTTCCAGATTTGCTTGATATTATATTAAACTCATGGGATTAATTAAAAGAATCAGGCTGTGTTTCAGGGAATTAATTTTGGTTTGCTGAAATTAGCCCCTTGCTCTCTTTGCCAAAAGAGGCCCAATATGAAAATAATCAGATTTAATATGTTTGCTTGTAAGAGGCTCTGGAACTTTGCTGGGTCGGATCAGGTTGAAGCTACCTGTTGCATGAAATACCTGCTGATACGGTTTCTCCCCTTGAAGGACGTCCAGACAGCAGCTGCTGCCATAGAAACCAACACATCTGCCTCCAGTCAGTCACTGGTCAGCTGGACCAATCAGCCGTCCAACCAGACGTCCTACAGCCTGGAGAGGACAGTAAACGTCTCACGAACCCTCAACTCTGACCAATCATCTGCAGTCATGGCATCACCTAGTCAAATGTCATCCAGTCAGTCACCAGGCACCACGACACGAAACAGCCGATCACGATCAACCACAACATCAACTAGCCAATTACCGGGCAGTACAACAGCATCCAGCCAATCACAAGGCAGCACAACACAAACCAGCCAATCACAAGACAGCACTGCACAAACCAGCCAAACACCAACAACCATAACATCGACCAGTCAATCACCAACAACCACATCATCAACTAGTCAAATACTGGGCAGCACAACAGCATCCAGCCAATCACAAGGCAGCACAACACAAACCAGCCAATCACCAACAAGCGCAACATCAACCAGCCACTCACCAGGCAGATCAACACAAACAAGCCAATCATCAACAACCACAGCATCAACCAACCAATTAACAGGCAGCATAACAAGCCAATTGCAAGGCAGCACAACACAAGCAAGCCACTCACCAACAACCACAATATCAACCAGCCACCCACAAGGCGGCACGAGACAAACAAGCCCATCACTAGTAAGCACTACACAAACAAACCAATCACCAGGGAGCACAAAGCAAGCCAGGCAATCACCAACAACCACAATATCAACAAGCAAAGCACAGTTCAGCGCAACACAACCCAGCCAACCAACAACCTCAGCACAACCCAGACAATCACCAACCAGGACAGAATCGTTTAACCAATCACAAACCAGCCCAGTACTGGTCAGCACCTCAGAATCAACAAGCCAATCACAAGACCACACAGCACACACCAGTCATTCAGAAACAACCACAGCATCATCTGGCCAATGGACAACTACCACAAAAACATCCAGCCAATCACCAACCACCACAGCACCATCTGGCCAATCGACAATCACCACAATAACATCTAGCCAATCACCAACCACGACAGCACACACCAGCCAATCATCAACAACCACAGCACCATCTGGCCAATCGACAACCACCACAGTAACATCCATCCAATCATCAACAACCAGCCAATCACCAATGACCACAGCAGCATCTAGCCAGTCTCCAACCTCCGCAACAACATTCAAACACTCACCAGCTAAAACAACTGAACCCAACCAGTCACTAAGCAGCGCAACATCAGCGAGCCAATCATTAGGTACCACAACACCAGTCAGCCAGTCATCAACAAAAAAGGCGTTGCCTAGTCAATCCCACACCAGCACAGCAACAGCAAGCCAATCCCCAGGAAGCACAGCACCAGCCAGTCAGTCCCTAGTCAGCAAGTCACCAACCAAGACATCATCTGACCAATCAAAATCCAGCCAAACTCCACTGAGCCAATCAACAACACCAAGTCAACCCTCTCTCACTTCAGCATCTTCTAATCAACCAGCTAATCAATCCATGACCATCTTAGAAACGTCACACAACATATTACACAGCTCGACATCCAATAACCAATCACTGCCGGGTTTATTACCATCTGACCAGTCCCCGACCAGCTCAGTGCCATCAAACCAGTCATCATCCGATTCATCAGGAAACTCTGTCAGTGGAACTGTTTCACCAGAGGAGCGTCCAGTTAATGTTTCCCTGCTCACCAGGCAGGCAAAGGAAGCCCTGAGGGCGTCGTTTCCTCGGATTCCAGGTAGGTTTCACTTTATGTCACACATTTCCATGACATTTCAGTACTTTTCCAACTTATTCTGATTGGACAAGTGGAAATCATGGTGAAATATGGGGCAGGCTGAGCATCCCTGGTCAGTTTTAGAATTCACTGTGGAGTAATTCCATCTCAAATCATCAGGATCCTTCTGCTTGATCAGCTCTGATTTGCTTGAACTTTATTATCATAAACTGTCAACATTTAAAATAGTATCTGTGAAATTTTAGATTAATATATCAAGTATTTTCTGTGATTTTTAACACTGTCGCCCCACCATTTTTTCATAAATTGAAATTTGACGCTACATTTGGATGAAAATATTTCAGAACCAATAGAGATAAAAGCAAATTGCATACATTTGCCACAACCGTACATTCATTTGCATCTCCTTTTGCAAATTTACTGGAATTTTGGCTTAAAAAGGCACTAATTGGGAGGGAAAATTGGATGGCTGTTTTCTGAGCAACTGAAGTTCTTTTTTTTTGGTTCTTTAAGGGGTTTTCACCTCATCCAAGGGGCTTCTTCAGAACTGAAGAACCAAAAAGAGAAATCCCATGATCTTGATGACTGAGAATCTAAACGTTCTGAACAGCTGTTGTATGTCTTTTGCGACTCCCAATGGGGGACGTCACAGTCTGGAATTTTCTTAAACTAAATTTTGTGCGTTAAACAAAATACTTTTGAAAATGTGTTTTTTAGCTGAAATCTGAGGGATTGTGGAGCCAGTAGCTCTGGAGTCTGGAACCAGGGAAAACAGATATGCCCACCATTACATTCAAAGTTTACTTAGTTTAGTCTGTTCGCCAACTGACATGTAAAAATCAACTAATTGTGGTTTAATACTCACTCTGCCAATGTTTACAGCACATAACCTACCCTTAAAGGTGTTCCTACATATATTTTCTTTCTTTGGATAAAACCAATCCACCTGTGTCCTCCTGCTTCCAGTCTTTATGCTGAGTTAACAGCTTAACTAAGCCTCTTGTGTCCGGCTCCATTCTTAACCATTAGAGAGGTAATTATCGTCCCCTCCTGCCCCCCTCAGACTTCTTTATCTTACCTGTGCTTACTCGTGGTGGACGTGGCTGACTGGGCAGACAAGCTGTAGCCCACCGAGCAGATGGTGCTACTGCAGGACGAGGAGCCATCGTTTGGTGGTTGGTGGTGCGTTCAGGGACATTTGTTGGGGCCCCACAGCTCCGTATGAGCGCTGACAGGTGGTTGTGTGGTGGACAGATGGCGACTTCTCCTCAAAATCGAAACCTCTTCAAAGTCAGTCGTCTGTCACAGCGGTTGTTAGGATGGATGTACGGAGACAGTGTCGCAGTGGCCCAAACACAAAGAAGATTAGAAAAGAGAGACGTACTCTCTGATGGGCTCCTTTGTTCAGGTTTCCAGTCTGATGAGCAGCAGCAGTGTAATTGTTTGTTTGTTTGTTTCTTCAGGAGATCCGTGTGCGTTTCCCTGTCTGAACGGAGGCCAGTGTGTTCAGTTGGAGTCGTGTGACTGCAGCATGTATCAGGCCACAGGTCACAGATGTCAGACAGGTACGACCCCAACACTGAATGAGAAAAATATCACAATCATCCACTTTGTTCAGTTTTGTTATGATACACGTACGACATGAAAACAGCATCAGTTCAAAGGCCACTGACAGTTGTTAAATATGATTATGTTAAATGTGTTTTTGAGATATTATAAGTCGTAATATAACAAAAGTTTAAGTTTTTTTTATGAAGTACACTGGACTATTTCTTTTTTTTAGTTAAATTTAAACGGCTTTATTTGTCTTCAGGTTAACTCAGGTACAACACAACAAAAGGGTTTGGATTAAAAATAACAGTTCATTCGTGTGAAGTAGATGACAGTAAACCCTGATCATTTCTTTTCATGTTTATACGTCCAGTTCCAAACACCGGCTTCGAGCGGGAGATGACGTGTCGGTCGTGGGGTCAGTACAACTTTGAGACCTTCGACGGCCTCTACTTCTACTTCCCCGGCCGATGCACCTACACTTTACTGAGGGACTGTGAGGAAACCACGCAGGCCGGCATGGTCGTACAGGTTAGCTCAGACTCTCCTGAAATAAATCCTCCCGACTAGAAGCTGCCCAGACGTTTTCGGTTCGACGCCTGCTTCCAGTCGGGAGAAGTTTGGACTCGGCGGCCTCCCGCTGCACAACACACTCTCCTTTCTGACTTGTGCGAGCTTCAGCCTCAGCCTGAGGAAAAGATTTGCTCTGAAGATTAGTGAAAGCTATCTGGTTATTAGAGTCAATTACCATTAAATAGTGCAATTACCCACTATGCCTTGAAAGCATCTGCAACAGACCAGGACTTTGTTCCCCTGAAAAGGCAGCAGATACCGTATCAGCGTATGGGAAAACCAAACGGGGAGCGTATAAAGATGCTGATGTTTTATTTTTATTGATTGAACATCAATATAAAATTATGGAGCATTTCACTAACAAGAAAACATAAAACTACCGTGCTGCAAATCTAACAAGCAGATCATGTTAGAGGGAGGTTAGAGAACAGAAGAATCCCATAAAGTGGCAAACTGAGGCATGTGTGTTGCTTTTGAGATCACGTTTCGGCATTTAGAACAGTCTTTTAAGGAGAGCTGGCTGAAATTACATTTGATTTCAGGCAACTTCAGCCAGAATCAGAGCAACAGTGTAAGAAGAAAGTTTTGATATTTTCAAATGAGCCGTGGTCATAAACAAATGTAGACAAAATGGGCTTAAATTTCAGTGTGTATAAGTAAAGTTACAACACAACAACATTATTTTAGAGAGATTTTAATAAATAACAGTGAATCAAAGGAATGCTCTGACTGTCAAGACTAATGTGGAGCTACCCTTGCATGTAAAAATGAGCCGTGTGTGTAAAATCTCAGTCGTCGGGTGGTCCTTGAATGCAGCGCCAAGACAAAACTGGGAACTGTTTTACCAATTGAAACCCACTAAACGACACTTAGTTGTTCTGCAAAGACTTTTCCTTGATCTTGTCGGAAAATGTCATGAGATCAGATGAGAAGGAGAATTCATAGGGATTTAGGAAAAAGGTAGCTTAGAGAATCTGAATTCACTCAACATCAGATGCCACGGGGAATTGTGGGATGATATTATCTATTTTCCTTCATAAAGACTGGTCCACTGTATTCTTTGCTAAAGGAGATTAAGAAAATGAAGCACTGAATCACGTTTCCTGAGCATTTAGAGAATTCATTTGGATCGTATCATAGCTGCCACTGACACGTCCAGGCCGTTTCATTCATTTTTTTGTCAGCCTTCCTGCTTTACAACATGCTGTGTTTTCAAATAAATGGACACCTGCTTTGTTTCCATGTTTCAGGTCCACAATGATCCCGGCTGTAGCTCCGCCCCCTACACCTGCCAGCGCTCCGTCAGCCTCTTCCTGCCGTGGGAAGGCGAAGTCCGGCTGCACGCCACCAACGTGACCTTCAAAGGCCAAATGTGAGCAGCACAACCCCGCTGGCCCTCTCTGTGTTTTATTTGACATATTCACACCCGTTGTGTTGCATTCACTGTCTCTGCGTTCAGTCTGCAGCTGCCTCATCACATCCACGACCTGCAGCTGGAGCAGATCTCCCAGTACGTCCTGGTGACGCAGCAGCACGGCTTCACGCTGGCCTGGGATGGTCGCAGCGGCTCCGTCTACATCAAACTCAGCCCGGAGTTTGTGGGAAGAACCTGCGGCCTGTGCGGTAACTTCAACGCCGACGTCCAGGACGACCTGAAGACGAGCTACGGTGAGATCACTGTGTTTGTGGGGAGGCAGTGATTTACGGCCAAAAGTTTTTAGTATGATCCATGACTGAACCATCAAGCAGAACAAACAGACCCTATGGAGAATTTGGAAAGCAAGCTATAATATTCAAACCAACTCCAGAGTCAAATTGTGATATAATGATCTACCTTCTAACATAATAAACACCATTCCCTGTGAGTCAGAAAATCAAAAGCAGAAGACAAACTATAGCAAAACACTGTGAAAAGTAAAAGTTCCAGTCAGTTTCTTGCATTCAACAGGCTGCTGCTTTATCGGTTTTTAGCTACGAATACACCAGTAGATCAAATATATAAAAGCGTGCACCAAGTCTAATGCATTGTTTAGCTCAAACAAGAGACATTAACTGACACCACTTGCTGCCTGGATGGTATAAAATCAACATCAAAAAATGTCCTTGTAAAATAATTTGTGATGCAAAATGTGTGCAATACCTGGTTTAAAATGTGCCATAGTCAGATACGGTTTCTCTGTTTCTCAGGTGTGCTGACTCATGAAATAGAAATGTTTGGGAACAGCTGGGTGGAGGCGGATCCGCACCAGGACAGATGTCCCACGGTGTCTTCTGGTTTCGCTTCACCTTGCGCCGCAGTCGATGCTCAAGTCCTGCTGGTAAGGAGTCGGATAAAATCGACATAAACAGCAAATGCAGCACAGAATGAGTTGAACGATGTGTGAACATCTGTGTTTGTGGCTGCAGAAAGTGGACGAGGTGTGTGCCATGCTGCTGGAGCCGCCATTTCAGAGCTGCCACGAGTTTGTGAGCCCACTGTCCTACATGGCCAGCTGCTCCAACGACCTCTGCATGTAAGAACAACTGATTAAGATCTGACTGCGAGACGCCTTCATTTAGTCCCGGAGAACAGTCAGGATGTCGACAAAGTCCTAAAGGGTTAACATGTTGTGAGCCACCAATGTCTACAGTTTGGAGATATTGTGATAATTTAAGAGCAAAACTGTGTAAAAATAGAAAGAGTTCATGCTCTGAAGTATTCTTAACAAACATCTTGACATGTATCCAGATGGCAATAGTTCCTCTAATCTAAAGGTAGCAGCAAAATTTAACAAATATCCTTCATTACAGGAGCTTTTGAGGCCAATCCACAGATGTTAGATTCTAGACAGAGTGATCTTCAGTCCCTAATAGTCTCATTTATTCTACTTTTCCTGCATTTAATGTTGTTGTCAGGTGAGCTATCTATGCTTCTGATCATTTCTGATGCTATTAAAAGGCTGTAGGTGTAAGATTTGAACATTTCCAGCTTCCTAACAGCCCTCTTTAAAAATGCAGACAGCAATGCATTCAATGTTGAATGACAGCTGTGTAATCTGCACCGCTTTTTATTGGGATTGTTTCATTTTTCTGCACTAGTTACAGAAAAAAGAAGACAAATGCTCTGATTGCATCAATTTATCACTAGTACCATTCTGCACAGGTTATTCTAAATGTTTAAAATCTTCACCACTGCTTCCTTCACTCTCATTGCACTTCTCTTGCATCAGATCTTTACGTGCCCACTTGGTGTTTTGAGATTTCTTGGGTTTTTGCCTTTCAATCCACAGTGAAGACTGTGAGCACTTCTGTTACTCTCAGGTTTAAAATGGTCCCACTCAGACAACCAAAAGACAGTGTGTCTTGCGGTGGCTCAGGTCCATGATCCCGAACATGGCCCCCCCTGTGTGAGTAACACTAGCCCTGGCAGTCTGGACAAAACGGTTTACTGTGTTCAGAATCAAATTTATCAGATGATTCACTTTGACTGAGAACAATATCGATACAGCCACATGACAGCAGTCTTTCTCCAGCTTTAGCATTTCGTTTCCAGCCGGTCTGGATGGTGCATACGGCAGCTGATGGGCGCTTATTTGTTTGAGCTGCTCAGTTTTATCAGCTCAGCTACCTTTCTCTGGAGCCACACCTCTCCTGGCTCCGCTCAAAGAGTCCTTCTCTGTTTTTTTACTCTCTTGAAGGTCGGGTCCCAACGGCGATGTGGTATGCCAGGTGTTCAGCGAGTACGCCCGGGCCTGCGCCCATGCTGACCACCCACTGCACGACTGGAGGCAGCACATTCCTCAGTGTGGTACGTTTTTCCAGGTGTTTGAAACTGTGGTGCCACAGAGGAGCTAAAAGCTGCATGTTTCAGTTCAACCAGCTACACCAAGAGATTTTTTTTAGTTTCCCCTCTGTGAAAAATATGGACACTCACTGTGTCGAGTTTAAAAAAAATAGGGTCGTTTACTTATTTCATTGTATAATGCCAAAGTGTTGTAGTTTTAGTACGAGACTTCATCCTGTACTACATGCCAATTATTATTACAATATACAGGATAGAACTGAAGTGAGTACGTTTACTGAGATGTCAAACTGTTCAACCCTCCATGACCTTACAGCAGTCAGTTTATTTTTTCAATACTTCGTTGTTCACCTTTATTTCTGATAACAGACCAAATCCTCCGCACACGTTTCTGAAGATATGTTCGGCCATTTTAAATACTGTTTTTTCAACTGTTCTTTGCTGGAGGGGTCGTGTTGCTTTGCCTTTCTCTTTAAAATGACCTGAAGGTGTTCTGTTAACTTCTGGTCGGGTGACGTACTTGGCGAGGTCGTGTTCTTGGTTTCAAGAGTTGAACGTAGTTCAGAGGTTGTTTTGTAAAAATGAAATGAAAATGAAATGAAAAATACTTTATTTATCCCAGAAGGGAAATTCAATTTAAAAAAAGTGAAATGTATTCACATCTTCCTTTAACTATTTTTTTGTGGTGTCTTTAAAACTATTAAAAATACAACATGTGATCATATCAACCTGCTAAAACTCTTTTATTCATGAGATGTATTGTCTTACCCTACTTAGCATAATTAGCTAAATAATCATTAGCAGCTGAGCAGAATTAACCACTCTGTACTTTTTTTTTTTTTAAACCCACTAAACTTATTTTTATTGATTACCTTTGTGTCTATTTTGTGTGACTATCATTAAAATGTGTTGTCTTTCTCTAAAAAAATGGCAAAATGTTATTTCAGTCCGTTTTATATGATATAATTTATTATGGTTAAGTTAATAAAGGTCACTTGGAATCACATTACTGAGGTCCAGTACCTTTAGCTCTACCTGTAAACTACTAGAATATTATTAGTAGTTTAAAGATAAGTAGCTTTGCATACAGAACCGTTGCTGAGATCGACTTTAGCAAATCTTATTAACTTCCTACATGAACTACTACATAATTTAGTTTAATTAGATCCATCTAGAAATGAATAGTTCAATCATCATTCTTTTTTTTTTGAAGTTGGATGACTGTCTGTAACACAAACGTAGCTGCAGTGTTCAGCCGAATGCCATCACAGCTGGTGAACTAAATAAACAAACTTTCTGTTTTTTATCTTATTTATCTGCTGCGTGTTCAGTCCCTCCTGTCAAAGTTTCTGACATCTACGTTGTGTTTTCTTGTTGCGACCAGCGAAGCAGTGTCCTCTAGGACTGCAGTACAGAGAATGCATCAGCTGCTGCCCGGCGTCCTGCAACCTGGAGCGAACATGCATCGACAGCAAGCTGGCCTGTCTGGATGGATGCTACTGTCCTGATGGTGAGTTTCTATTCAGATTCTGTTTCCTGTTTAATGGAAACATTTCCTGCAAATCGAAACACCTTTTATGACTGCTTCTGTCTTGTGTTACGCCCCTAAAATCAGCCACCTACTCACTATTCTAGCTTCTGTTTTGCATCCTTCAACGTCCTCAGTTTGCTTCTTGTCCTTCAGTTCGCTAAATACACATGAAGGAGAAATCCTGCATCTTCCTTCTTGTCTGTACTGTGCTGTTTTTAACTGCAGATGGTCTGAATCAATCATCATCTGCGTGTCTCTGTGTCTGTCCCCAGGTCTGATCTATGAGGATGGAAGCTGTGTGACGCCATCCGACTGTCCCTGCGAGTACCACGGCATGTTTTATCCATCCGGACAGACGCTGCAGGAAGAATGCAATAACTGGTGAGATGTGTTTAGTCCCTCTTTAGGTGAATAATATTTGAAAGAGCTGTGATTTATCTGTTCATAAACATCTCTGACAGATCTTGCTTTCCTCCCAAAACCCTCCTTCATCCCAGAGATGGACAGATTGGAGGCCATGTTTTATTACATTTCAACATCATGTATAAGAAAAAAAAACCACATCATTTTCCTGTGGACTCCGTGCAGTCCTTTTAATCTTCTCAGATCTGACCACCTGGGCTCGGTGTGTCCAGTTTCTGTCAGTGATCCTGCTGATTAGCTCAGCCTTTCATGTTCCCAGAGCCACCTGTGGACGTCTCTGCTTTCTGTTTCAGCACTTGCGTGGGTGGAGTGTGGAACTGCACCGACTACAGCTGCCCAGGTTTGTACCTACCGACTGTGGGTGGTTATGTGTTTACTCCAGCTGCACTTCAGGACACAGTTGGTGACATATGCACACATTAAACTCTGTAGTTAGAAAGGAGGAAGGCTCTTATTTAAGGGACTAGAATCGAAGAATCTTTGTGCAGAAGTCTCAGGTGGCCAATGAGAAGACACGTATGTAAATATGGTGCAAAAATAAAGCAATAAAATGGCTAAAAAAGCAGATTTCAGATCCAAATTTTGAATTATTTATTTTAAATGAATTCATAATGGAATATTGGTGCGTTCTGTTTCCAAGTTCCAAGTCGGAAATTTCAACTCCAACACTCCCGTCGTCAAATATCTGGAGCGGAAAGTCAGAACATCTTCGCCAACCTCAACCTAAAACTCTAAGTTGGCTGCTCAGAGCATCTACAGGAGTGGAAGCTGCAGTGACAGACATTTGACTGAAGGGCTGAATTATTTCAGGAACATGTCTAATTGCAGATTTCCTGACAGACATTGTGATTTGATTCTTGATAGGATTTTTTAAGGCAAACATCAGCTTATTGTTCACTGTGCAATCGATGCTTCAAAACTGAGATGGAGCATTTCTATAGCATGAATTTGTATAAATACTGATATGAAAGTTTAAACTCCGGGTCAGATGTGCTGCAAAATGTACAACATGTGGCTGTTAGATAATGAGACTGAACTTATGTCCGTCGAACCCCAGCATGTAAGCAGTAATCACCTGGTGTTCATTGATCAGTGGGCAGCATATGCAACCCTGAAAGTTTCAGTCTGATCGAAGAACAAATAATTGAATTGCAGCACTAGTTGTGTTATTTATTAGCCACATCTCGTGTTTCCTCACCTGCAGCTTGTGGGATTTGATGATGCATTGCTTCAAATTGCAGTTTTGATTTGAAACTGATTTATTGTTCAGTGCTTCTGTCTCATTTGTGTCTCGTTAAATCAGTTGAGCAAGTAGTGCTGACCAACTTTTATCTGTGGACGTGTTGCTGCGGTGTTTATATTTGCAAAATACAGCATAACGCATGGTTATTTATGGGTGTTTCTACAGGTGTTGCTAACAGTGGCTAACACAGCATCAATCAACGGAGAAAGAAAATCCTTCAGTATGACACAAGGCTACACAGAGAGCAAGTCAATGCAGGAATTTTTCAAAGTAGAGAGCAACAAACCAGGAAGCCTGATAGAACAGGGCACAGAAGGATGAAGAGGAAAGAAGAGGAAGGTTTCATAATTTAGAAGACAAAAAATAAAGTTCCTGGTTAGTGTGTAAGAAAAGAAGAAGCTTTCTAAGATAAGATAAGATAAGATATGCCTTTATTTATCTCACAGTGGAGAAATTCACATTGTTGATAGCAGCTAGATTAAAGACTTGAAGAATTTAACTCCGTAAAGCTGAAACAAACTGCTGCTCAAGAGCCAAACACCTGTGCAGACGCTACCAGACTGTGTTTTAAGTTGGAAGGAAATGAGTGGATAATGGATCACTCTCTTTACAGGCGAATGCTCGGTGACAGGCGACATGTACTTCCAGTCCTTCGACGGGCGGATCTACACCTTCCCCGCCACATGCCAGTACGTCCTCGCCAAAAGTCGCAGCTCAGGGAAGTTCACGGTCACCGTCCAGAACGCCCCCTGTGGAGCTGTGAGTTAACCTTAATCATTTCTTCTTTTTTTATTCTGCTTCCACATCCTGAAAACCGCTCAACTCTCCCACTTGACCCTCTGCAGTCAAAAACCATTTGGTCGGCTCGGCTTACAGGCTCATGCAATTTGTCTGTCGTGTAGATCATATCATAATTTAAGTGCTCAATAATCCCCGCTGAGCTCCGCTCGTTTGTGTCCGAGAGCCACGCTGCAACCGCTCGGGACGATAATGAACATGAAAGGCGACAAAAGACTGAGAGCTTCTTCACCTTCCTCCCCCCCCGCCACCACCTCGCTCTCTTCAAACCTCCACTTTCCCAGCAGACTTTGAGCTTTGAGGGGGAGGAAGGTGGAGGGCAGATATAAGATGTCCCACTCATCGGAGCAGAGGCCCGAGACCTCTAACAGCCAACTGAACAGGATTACCTTATCTGGCCTGACTGACAGGGCTGTGCACGGCTTTGTAGTGGAGCGGGAGGTGAAGAGAGGCGCTGGAGGGAGTGGGGGGCTCCGGACAGAGAGGAGGTTATGCGAAAACGGGAGGTGAATGATGGGAAGAGCAGCAGGAGGAGGAGGGGAGGGTGCTAAAACCTCTCAGCTATGGGGCTCTGCCACTTATGAAAGAGACGATTCATAGAGACAGATCATTTACTGTCAGCGGCGTGCAGAATTCCTGACTTTAAAACATCAAAACAGCAAAGCGACTGCGGGGATTTTAGTCATAGTTCTTGAATATTTACATTTGGGGACAACACCAATCATATTGCTCAGACAATATGGAAAAACAAAATTGTTTTCATCTGATGATAGTCAACGGAGGGCATCGTCTTCCTGCTGTCTGGACTGTCAGTGTTCATGATTACAGCACCTTTGTACCTCGTCTCCAAAATGGCCGATTGATTGTTGCAGAAGACAATATTTTGTGGTTAAGGGGTTGAATGACTGCGAGGAAGCGGTGCAAAATGAGCGGATGTAGTTCTTTAAGCTCAACCTGTGGGTTTACGTCACTGCTGCTGCTCTCATGGGGATGTTTAGACACAGCAGCTAAATGTTTTGGTGTCTCAACTTGAGCCTGAATCTTATTACGGCTTTTTATTTTCATCTTTTCACCTTATTTTCCTCATTTTTCTTACATGTAATGTGTGTGAGCTACTGGACACCTTAAATTTTCCCGAAGGACTGAATATCTGTCTGTCTGTCTGTCTGTCTGTCTGTCTGTCTGTTATGTCAGCATTCAATTGTAGATTTATAAAAATCTAATCGGCAAATAACCCTGAATTTTGATGATAGCAGTGGTTCCTCCCACAGAATAGATCTTTTTCTTCTTGGCCAGACTGTCGGCAATTTTACTGTTTCTACTCACCACCCTTATGTCACTATTCTCCAAAGTCTCCTGTTGATGGTTGCTGAAGGCAGCATTTCAGTTTTCTGAGCGTGTGGTTAAGGGAGCGAACGGCCACTTCTGCGTCTTGGGGGTTGCCCATAGTGACGAACATGTAGAGAACTAGTAGTTCTTTAAGTTTGCTGGTGAGGTGTTTTGTCTGCAACTCGAGAAAGGAAAACGTGAACGCTGTTGTCCAGAGCAGTGAAATCCCATCTCATGACTTTACAAGTGTTTTGGTGTCTGATCAGACTTCAAACTGATGGATGTGTTGCTCAACTTGAGCCTGAATCATATTTTTATGTTTACATTGAGTCATTTGCTATCCGGCTTTCCAAGCTGAAAAAGAAATATGAAAATCTAACTCACGGTCAGTCATGAAGTTTAGTTCCCCCACAGAGTCAGTCTTTTTGTTCTAAATGACCTGTAGCCTCAACTCGAGTGTGCCGCTCAAAACTAAACTTCCATTTTTTGCCTGAATACTGCTAATGGTAATAATTAATAGCTGGTATTTTTGGGGTCTACTGTAAATAGGTTTACATGACCAAAAACACTTGATTTTTTTTCTCATTGCTGCAGCACCTCTTCTTATTGTCAGTCAGAAACGCTCAGTTCTAGCTCCTGTTCGTTTAAATCTCCCCGCCTGAAACGCCCAGTTTGCTCTGATTGGTCAGCAGGCCCGACGAAAGCCAGGTTACGTATAGTGACCCCGGATCTCTGAATACAGGGCTGTTGTTCTAGTGAGGCAGCTGCTCATTCTTTGTTTGAGGGCCAAACTGGCTGCTAGACAGGGGTTATGCTAATGTGTTACACAGTGATGTAGATAAGTGACAGAAGAGAAGCCGGGACTTCAAACGAGGTCGTCCAGGCAGGAAAGGAGCAGGGTTTTCAGTTCGAGAGAATAATAATGGATTCTGACCTTTGGAGGTTTGCTGACGTTTTACATGCACAAAGTGTGAGCTAACCCAAAAAGCACAGTATGGTCTCTTTACTGTAACAGTGTTGTGTTGTGGGTGTAGTGTACAGGCTGTGGAGGTCACTAGCAGGGTGTTTCTAAGTGTTTGAGTCTTTATTTATGATCTAAGGACTCTGAGGTCATTATGTGTCCCGGAGCGGGAGTAAAACTCTCTTTCTTTCCCACTCCTCCTCGTTATTTCACTCCACTTCTTCCCATTATTTTTGCTCTCATTGTGTGTCCTGTTGAGCATCTGAATTGCTGCTGTTTGGGGAAATGCCAGCGCGCTTTATTCAACCATCTTGTCTCGATTGCAGAATCTGGACGGGGCCTGCATCCAATCAGTTAACCTGGTTATTGACGAGGATCCAAGAACAGAGATTACACTGAGTCACGTTGGAGAAGTCTTCATGGCCGGACAGTACCGCATCTCCCTGCCCTATTCTGACGGTAACCTCCTCGTCTTTTATCAATCATTGTTCGCGTCCAGGCCCCGGCTTCTTTCAGCCCTGTGTGGGTCATGGCAGTGACGGATTGAATGACAACTTTGCTATTGAACGGAAATTTTTCTCAATACTCTGCTGGCACAGCTCCTACATTGTGTTGCACAAAATGCGTCCCCGCTGAGTATTGCTCCTTTTAGCCATTTCCAGTGTTTTCAGGGTCGAGTCAACAGCCTTTTGTATGTTTTATGAGAAACTGTGTGAGAATGATCTGATATTTGGTACCTCAGTGAAAGAAAACACTTTGACTACTCTGTGCTATTTTGCACACAGATTCTCACAAAATTCTCCATTTAATAATTCTTCCTGTCAACCAATCAATCAATCAATCAATCATTTAATTTTTTGTGTGCAGTCGTAGTACAAATAGCCAAATAATAAAGAGAAAAAAAAAGGAATTAAACCTCCAAACAGTTTGAAAACTAGTGTTAAAACAATGACTGTAAGAACAAATACTCAGCTCTGGTGAGACAGATTCCAGGTGACAAGACACACAGTCCAGTTAAAACTCAACTGATCAACAGGTGGCGCTAATGTGACGAGCGATGTAGCCTCCGAAAGCTGTAAAGAAGAAGCCTCGTCGTTAGCAACTTTGGGTGTAAACAATGCTGGATTCAAAGTGTTAAAAACAAAAGAGCCTGAAAGCCTGAATGTCTTCCTCCCGCAGACATCTTCCACATCCAGGAGCTGTCGTCCATGTTCCTGCAGGTGAGGACGGCGTTCGGCCTGCGGCTGCAGTACAGCTGGCGGGAGTTTCGCCTCTACCTGCAGGCCGACGAGCTGTGGAAGGACGACACGGTGGGGCTGTGCGGCACCTTCAACGGCAACATTCAAGATGACTTCCTGTAAGTGTGCGCCGGCCGACCTCTGACCCGTCCCGCGCCCTCCGTTAACCCGCCTCCCATAATAAAAGCAGAGAGCATACTCCTGTTTCAGAGGCAGAGAGGGAGGTGATGCTGAAGTGCTCTCTCTCTCACACTCCGTCTCTGTAATGCACACTGGCCCGGCGGCTCGGCATCAAAAGCCTCGCTCTCTGATCACCTCTTTTAGGCGGGCCAGATGAGCACCCAACTGGACACGCCACTTCAACAAGGAATTTACTGTTAGCGGAATAGGGGCTCCACTGTACCGTGGCGTAATGGCCGACCATAAAGGGCGGATGTTGTCTAACAGCTGTAAATGGATATACATCCCAGTTGGTGGCTGAAGTGGTCGTACGCTGCTGGAAGGAAAACTCAGTCGAGCTCTTTAGGAAAGGCTGCAGCTAAAATGATGACTTGCAGAATCGTCGTTTGTCTTCATGTTTAACACAATGCGCTGATGTTTTTGGGTTTTTACTTAATTCAATGCTGCAATAGTTGCACTTTATGAGGTACAGTTGTTTTAGGCAAATAAAAAAGGGCACATTTAGTGGAGAAAACAAATAGAATGTGAGTCAGGAGCTCTGAAACACAGGCAGCATGTGACTCTGCTTTTAGGAAGGGATGGATGGAAACTTTAGGTGAAGGTGCGTCGCTATGCTGCTGTATCAGTATCAGCCAAATGCAGAGAGGGAGTATAGAGAGGGCGACGGTGATGGCAGATTTTATATTATCAGATAATCTTCAAATGACTTAATTTCTTCAGAAGTTGCAAAATTTAGTTTGTTCTTAAAGCTGTATTCTGTTTACTAGAGAGCTACTTTCTGAGAGACGGGCTTAAGCTGTCTGATCAAATACGAATGTTTTTGAATCCTTTTGATTACAAGCATAGATAAGTTCATGACAGAATCCCTGACCTTGTGTTTTCTTGTATTGATTGATGGGAATTGTGGAAGTGGATTAAGATGGTTTTGGTAAACATCTCCATCTAAGCAGAAAACGCACAGAGAAGCAGGTAATAGCTGCTGTTGCACATGCAGTAGAAGTCTGACGGCGTCTTTGAACACAAGGGCCTGTGTTCTTTCCCAGCATTGGACACTAGATAGGCTGCAACAAGGAAGATGTTTGCCAGCTTCTCTCTTTATGTAAAACTGAAGCAAATACAAGATGTACCCTCCTACACCGGCTGAACCTGATTGGATGAAGGCTTTACTCGTGGACTGACCGGATTTCAAACCGGACCAACATGGCGGCTTGTTTGGACATTTTCTCTTATGTTATGAAAATACTTTACAGAAATATGATTCTGAAAACATCTGAGGCAAGAAATAAGACATGCAACGGCTGAATCTACCTTCGCTTTAGATTCGCAGTGGTTAGTTTGAAAGGTTTTTGGGGAATTCCCAGAGGCGGTAGTTTGTGCTGGACACCCTGATTGGCATAAAGTACTCTAAAACTAAATCTGTATGCAAATGAGGAGCAGACGTCTCTTAAATGCAACACCACCCTGCCTTAACGCATTGCACAGCTGCTTATCGACAATGAATACAAAGTGTGGACAAAACCAACGCAAAGAAATCAAAACACATTTTATTAGATGCGGTTGCTGATGTTTCTGTGGCTACAGCTACTATGAATGTTGTAACACGAGCACTCAGTGTACTTGCTGGCATTTTATTCACAGGGTTCCCTGGACGTAGCGTGATGTCAGTTTAATAAAAACAAAACAACCCAACTCTTTGCTATCGCTATGTTGCAGTACTGAACCTGGTTTTCCTGCAGGTCTCCATCGGGGATGATAGAAAGCACTCCTCAGCTGTTTGGAAACGCCTGGAGGGTGTCGTCGGCCTGCTCGTCCAGCCTGAGCGCACCTCAGCTCGACCCCTGCGACACACACCAGCAGGCCGGTGGGTGTCTCGTCCTTCTTTTTTACCGTTTCACCAGTTAAAAACAAGTGATTCACAAGTGTTTTACGTTACAATCATGCTCAAGATCTTAAAATTTTACACCATTAATTGTACGTGTTGTGGAAATCCTGGAAGAGGTTGATGTAGGAGGAGGAGGAGCTACATTTACCTGAAGAGGTCAGTCGGTTCAATATCTTCTCTAAAAGATTAACTCCAAACCAGGAACGTAATTTTTTCTTCACAGTATGTGCCTAAAAAAAAAATCTAAATATTTAGTGTGTAATATTAGGTGAAATTGTAAAAGAACTCAAATAAAGAAAATAATTCTATAATTTTGGGTCATTGTGATGGTGACATGAGAATAGAAAATGAACTCTATATTCAAGGTATAAATCAGTTAAGGCTTGATTTTTTTTTAACCTTTTTTCTGTCGACACATCATTGATTTTGATTCTTGCAAGAATTCAACAATGATTTGAATATAATTGCACTTTAGATTTTTATTGTTAGGGTCTGTATTCAGGCTCAAGATCAGGATTTGTCACATGCTCATGTAGCCTGAGCAGTGAAATGCAAAGTGGCCGTTCCGTTTAGCTTTCCAATAATAAGACATGATACAAATGATGGGAGAGTTGTATTCCTGTGTGTGCATGTGAGGTTTCTACATAAGAGCATGTACATGCATCTTTATATTATGTGTATATTTATATTGTGCCAGTGTGCTCCTGCTGTTTGAGATATTTAATCATACAAAACCTGGATCTGCTTTAAAGGGACATTAGAGTCCTGGAGGGCTTTTACTATGAAGCACCTGCACACACACATGGCTGCACATGGATGTTTCTAATCAGACTTTTTACATAACTCTTACATGAAAGTCATTCTAATTTTCTATTTTTACATTGTTTGCATATTTCATGACTCCTTCCCCTGCTCAGTGACCTACGCCTCAGAGATGTGCGATGTGCTGAACCAGGATCTGTTCTCCGCCTGTCACGAGTACCTCAGTCCGACACCCTTCCACCAGCAGTGTCGCTCAGACACCTGTAAATGTGGGACGCCCTGCCTCTGCTCTGCTCTGGCCCACTACGCTCGCCACTGCCGCCGATTCTCCGTCATCGTCGACTTCCGATCGCACGTGCCCGACTGCGGTGAGTGTTCAGCCTCAGTTTCATCAGCAGGCCGAGGAGATGTTGCACCAGAGCATTTACCTTCCTTGTAAAGAAGGTGCTTTGTTTTTGTTGCAGCACGTTATATCCAATCCAAATATTCCTCTTAAATCACTGTTTGTGTTCATGGTTGATTAACCAAACATGAGCGATGACATTTGAAGATATTTTGATCTTTAACTCACTTGAAATATAAACTCGTGATGTTTTAGCGTTTTCTAATAGCCCCGTAAAATATAACGAAGAACCCCTATATGGACTCTTTAGGTCAACTGGTGAGCAAAGAGGTTGTTAGATGTGATGGGATAGTTAATGAGAGAGCTAATGTGACGTAGCTGTGGCAGCTTGTCAGGAAAATATAATGTGGTGGAAGTTCATTAACAAAGTTGAGCATTTAAATGTAAAACAAAGTGCTGAACACCTAAAGGAGCTAAAGAAAGAAGGTGAAAGAAAGTCAAACGAGATGAACACCAAGGTGACAATAACAACAGGACATTTGACCCCTTCTTTGTATAACAACACAGTTAGTCACATCTTTCTTATAATCAGTGTATAGGTGTCATATTTAAAGGTTTTGCTCTTCTTCCTCAACCAGTATGTAGCTTACTTAAGTACATTAAGGTCAATTCATTCTTTCCACTCCTACATGCCAATGAGGATCCACATGATTTAAAACATGCTCAAGTCCGCAAGTGTTTCTGCAGACACTTTTGTAGATGATTTTACAACCAAAAAGTAGAGATTGTTCTGAATTACAAGCAGATTGACTGATTGAAAGATGGATGCTTTATTGTCATTCACAGCATGGGAACATGAGGAGCGAAATATAATACTTAGTCTTGGCCCTAGTGCAATAATAATCATATAGATAAATAAGATAAATAGTGGCCCGTTGACCTCAGAAATTAATAAACAAAAACAGTTAGTAGTGTCGTGGCTGTAGCAGCACATCATGAGGTCCATTAAGGTGACAGTGTAGTAGCTTAAAATGCAGCTTATTTGCTCAAAGACTTAAAAAGCACCATCTATGTAGAGACTGTGTGAGAGATTCACCATCATCCGTACATTTCCAATTCATCACTAAAAGAGTTGTAATTAGTGTAAACGCATCCAGACTTCGGAGACCCTTTGATCTGTGCATACTTTACATCAACGATGCTTACATTTTTCAGAAGCCTTTTACTAAGTCGGCCCCCCGACACATTGCTGCTTCTGATCTGGAACCAGCTGTCACGTCTTGAAAATAGTGCAAAAAGTCACCATCTTTCAAAAACATCCACAGGATTCAAGTGTTCTTCTGTGTTTAATATGCAAGCAGGCAATGCAATGTTTATGTATTGTAGTATGAATAGAGCTGTGTGTTGTTAGTGCGTGGGGATCATAGACTGTATAAAAGATGGACGTAGCTGCAGGGGTTGGTTTCTGCACTGAGAAAATGAAGCCAGGGTTTTGCTACTTCCTGGTTGACATCTTGGATTTGACGAAAAAATCGTGGGGGGGGGGGAGAGCCATAGGAGCAGCGATTGGTCAGACGTATTGAGAGGCGGGCCCTCTCTGCCCGCCCACATTTACCGCCTTCTGCTCGCTTCATCTGTATGGTCGCTGCCGACTGTCAATCAAGCCAGCCACGCCCCTTGCCCCGCAACATGTTGATGTTTTTTTTTAAAAATTCAGTATTGATTTATTTTCAGATTGGCCACCTGATCTCTGGACTTGACCATGAAAACTAATTTTTTAAAAATCCTGAGCTGTAGGAATGCAGTATTTCGTGATCTGTGATCACTTCTTTTCCAATTCAAGTCTATGGGAGCCAGGGCTTTTTGGAGCCAGGACTAGCGGCCATAGTGATATTGCAGGTTTTTGACACTTCCAGGTTGGCTTAATTTTTCAGGGCCGGTTGCTACGTCCATCTTTTATACAGTCTATGGTGGGGATGCTAAAACCATTAATTGTGTGTTTTTAATTACTTATTTCTGGTGCAAAGTCTTCAGATTTTCTTTTTGATGTCACACAGTTTTGGCAAAAAAGTAGTAAGATTTCTGTGAAAGTTAAGTTTGGTGAAGTCATATCTGATCCATTTTTACATGAGCAGCATTGTAATTAAGATTTTTAGTGGGTTTTTTTGCACAATATTATGCAAAATTCAACAATAAAACTGCACAATGCAGTGTAAAGAATCCACTGGCAACAAAACAAAACAATGATTAGATGTCAGAAGGATTTGCAGGTACATGTGTTGCAGACAGATACGTGTTTGAGTTAAACTAGAGAGCTCTGTGTGTTTACCTGCATTTGTTGTTTCTTTATTTTCATCCTTTGTTTTCCAGACAGACATTTTGCCTGATTTAGAGTGAGTTGTTGAAGTGTCATGAATGTTTGTTTTAAATTTGGGATGTCTTTATAAGAACTTGATGTTGTGATATTGGTGCAGTGCCAGAATTCAGCTGTGTACAGTCATGACGTAATCTGCAAATATGTTTTGTTTTTTAACTCTGTCTCTTCGTGCAGCCGCCACCTGTCCGGCCACCATGCAGTACGGCACCTGTGTGTCCTCCTGCCAGCGTCGATGCTCCTCCCTCTCCGTCCCGCAGCACTGTGGGGAGGAGTGTGAGGAGGGCTGCGTCTGTCCTCTGGGCTCCTTCTACAACCACCGAACACACACCTGTGTGCACAGGTAAGCAGCGGCGACGTCGTTTCCTATGAAAAGAAAGGAGAAAAATACAATAATTCAGTTTAATTTGACTGTGTTCAGACAGTCGGCTGTTTCATAGATGCTGTCTTTCTAAGTGGAGGTGGGAGTCCTGGTTGTGCCGTAGCAGCTCCAGCTCTGCCCGCTGTGGCGTTGTGAAGCTCGTTAAACGGCTAACGGCCTGGAGTCACTCCACCAAACAAATCCTCTCAAAGTGATATTTGTATCTGCTCTGAAGTTTAGGTCAGCCTTTAAGTGGAAAGCCTTGTATCTTTCCTGCAGACGTTATAGAGCCAGAGGACCTCGGTAATTGTGCTCTCCCTTTCAGCCTGCTCTGCCCTAGAAGACATGCAGCTTAATTCCTCTTAAATGTCCCAGGTTTTTACATCCTAGTGCAGCGCGGTGCCTTACTTACCATGTGATAGAGTTACATCAAGGAATTCACCGTGAAACCCCCCTTTCATTCCCACTCGGGCTGGGGACGACACAGATATCTGATAACCAGTGAGAAAGAATTTGTAGTACAGAGGCCGATGTGTGGCACTGGCCTATATGTTACAAAGGCTTTTAGCTTCAGCTAAACACCGTTTACTACATCGGAGTCGTGTATTTTGTTTTATCGTAAGAAATTTGTCTGAACAGATAACATTTTTTTTTTTTTTTTTTTTTGGAGGAGGCTTGGCTTCTTCACCCTCAGCACTGATTCCACTTCCTAAATCCGCCTATCTGTCCCCTATCCACTTACCTGTAATGCTCTGTTTAAGGTAACATAAAGCCCTCTTTAACATAATTCTTTACACAATGAGGGAACAAACTGAGCATTGTGTGGTTTATATCTGCCAAATCCTGATGTGCAGCTGATGTTTCTGTGGATTCGAAACAGTCACATTTTGTTGCACAAACAAATAACTTAACATCTGCCAGATTTACCTTTACCTGAAGCTGCCTTTGTCCTCCAAAGTTCACTCGTCTCTGGGGCTTTTCCTGCTCAGAATTGCCCTTTGGGGGCGACTACACACGATGATAAGCGTGATACAGCAAAGGAAAAGAGTTGTGCTAGCTTTTTTTGGACAGAAATCTCGGCTTCTGTCTAACATTTCTGATAAACAAACAAAAAGGGGGGATAAGTTATGAAAACTGGTGACAAATTGGAGTGCTATTTTTATTTTGAGTTCTTTTGCTGCTGGTAGTTTTCCTTTGGTGCTGGATCAAACCATTTTGTGGGGACCAAATATTCCTTTATACAGGAAAAACCCTGATCCTTCGTTCCCTCTGTAGTGCTTAGGTCTTCTCGCCAAATTATAATATTTTTCTCCCATTTTTCTGCATTTTTGACAGAATACACTGCATATTAAGAATACACATGCATACATGTATATTTTAGTACAAGAACATGTGAACATAGTCGTTCCTGTGGGATTTGCAGGAGTCTTTCCTGACTATTAGTCTTTAAAAAATCCAATCTTCATATGTGGTCTACCAGAGGTTTTGTCTCAAGCTTAAGTCACATACTTGCAGCAGTGATCTGATTTGATCTTGTGTGTCTTTTTATTTGTGTCGTGTTTTTGTTTGTGTTTTTTCAGGCGCGAGTGTCCCTGCAGTTTCCTCGGGGCAGATTACGAACCAGGAGATGTGATCATGACGTCAGCAGGTGTTCAGTAAGATCCTCTTCTCCGTCTCTGTCTTCTAAGACTTCCAAACATTCCTTCATCTAATTTTTTAGCTTTTGTCCTGTTTTTATTTACATTTTCCATTCTTTAGTGTTTATTCATGGTGATTTTGATCAGGTTAGCGGTTAGAAACAGCAGAGAAAACATCTGGAGGCGTCTGTAATTCAGTCAGTGAAGAGAATCCAGGACTGTGGATGAGAAGCGACATCCAGAACGCTTGTGTGGAGACTGAGAAAGACAAAGTTGTCTAAAGTTTCTGACTTGCTTTGGCTCAGATTTCCTCACGTTTCCCCTCAAAAAGACTCTGCGGCTACATGACACTCAGTCACAACCCAGACAAAGTGCAGAAGTCTTTAATGATAAAATTAAACAACAGGCTCAAAATAAAGGTCGATTTTGGTTACAGTTGGTCATTAGTGAGAGAACCGTGTTGTATTTGGACAACATTTGTTTTAACATATTTGACTCTGAATATAAATACCTTCCATGGAATCCAAATGAACCTTTTCACTTCTTTACCTGCAGCAAAGCGTGTTAGAATCATTCAAATCCACAGGGTCCATCCCCCTTTGGTGACCTCAGCAGAACTGATAGTAAAATGCATGTTTGATTATAAGACGTGTGAGGAGTTGAAATTTTCTCCTCTTTTTAGAGAAAGCTCACACCAGTTACAAACAGGAAAGGCTAAATTCATCGGAGAATACAAGACATTCGGTAAATTTCACCCCTGATGCTCAGATGAAACTCTGGTTTTAGTGGTGACGTTACATAAAAGGTCACCAGAAATGGTAAACGTCATTGCATGTGGAGGATAGAAACGGTCACTTTCACTGGAATTCTCTGCAAAGCGTTGTTGTATTTAAATGAATCGATATAAAAATCAACTTTCCATGTTGTTTCTGTAGTTACGTCCATCACATAAAACCTCTCTGTGTTCCTCTGCAGGCTCTGTCTGAACGGCAAACTGGTGTCCCAAACCACAGACACGGGTAGGCCACTCATTTTGAAATGTTTCTTTAATTCCATGTTGTTATTTCTGAATCCTATATTCAGCGATCAGATGCTCTAACAGTCACGCTACTCAATGCTTTATCGAATCAACAGAAATCTCTGATTTCTCCTTCGCTTCTTGCAGAAAGGTTGTGTCCGGCTGGTCAGCTCTACCAGAACTGCTCAGAGGGGGAGGACGGCCTCCTGCCTGGAAGGGGCGTGGCCTGTGAGCGCACCTGTGAGTCCTACCTGCTCAACCTCACCTGCTCCACACACGAGCCCTGTGTGCCCGGATGTAGCTGCCCTCCTGGGTGAGTGACGGCTCGAGCAAAGTTATTTTATCAGTTGCTGATATGTGCAAATATACAAACTGTCAATGTTAATAAGAAAACAGCAAATGAAACTGAAATTTATTTGATGTAAAACAAATCTTTGGTATCGAAAATATTATTTTAAGTTTTGAAAATGAATCGTTGCTGACAAAACTCAACTTGACAAGAAATTTTTGAAGGCTAATAACTGCACTCTGACTATAATTATAAGAAAAATTAAAATAAAAACTCACTGGTATCACACATTGCTGATGTAGAAGCTGAATTTGCAAAGTTGGGCTGCAAGGTGGCGCAATTGGTAGCACTGTTGCCTCGCAGCAAGATGGTCGCTGGTTCGCGTCCTGGTGTCCCCACCGGGATCTTTCTGCGTAGAGTCGCCATGTTCTCCCCGTGCAGTGTGGGTTCTCTCCGGGTTCTCCAGCTTCCTAACACAGTCCAAAAACATGTTGAGGCTAATTGGTGATTCTAAATTGTCCGTAGGTATGAATGTGAGTGTGCTTGGTTGTCTGTCTCTACGTGTAGCCCTGTGATAGACTGGTGACCTGTCCAGGGTGTCTCCTGCCTTCACCCTGAGTCAGCTGGAATAGACTCCAGCCCCCCATGACCCTAGTGAGGATTAAGAGATGTATAGATAATGGATGGATTTGCAAAGTTCCTTTCAGTTTCATTTCAGCAAACGGGACTAATCAACACATGCAACTGTGAATCTTTGTCACTTTAGCAACATTCTAGGAAGACATTTCACACAGTTTTCTGTGCAGCTGTCCTCGATGTCTCTGAGGTTGACTCTCGCAGTGGGTGACTTTTACCTTGTTTGTGAATAGAGACTTGGTTACAAGACGACTGCTGGTTTAAACCCTCACAGCAGATTCATTTGAAGGTTTTTACCAGGGTTGTTGTCGACTGAAGAAACTCGGATGGACTCTTCAACTAATCAATTACTTACCCATCATGTTCTTTTGATGAAACAAATGGGCCACAGTGCAGCGAGAGCACTCTACCTGCTGGCCTCAACATCCTAAATGAATCATGAAAAAAACACAAAAAGGCCAATATTTGCAGCACATTAAATCATTATAACCTGGTTATCATACTGAAATGACAACACCAGAGACCAGTGTGCACCTGCTAGTATTCATATGATTTCTAGAAATAAAACCACATCAGCTGGTGATCACAGCACCAGAACTATTGAATTGTTGGTTGGTTGGTTGTTGAGCTGTGAAGCACAAACTGCAGTTTGCAAAGTTTACACTCGACACTTTGGTCCTCAGTTTGAACAAAATGCGGCGACTCCTTTGACATGGTGTCAGTTAACGTTGAATAAGTTGGAGCTTGCAGTCTGTAGCAGGTTGGGCGAGTCAGTTCAAAAGTAGTCTGCTTCTCCTGTCGCCAAAAACTAATGGATTAATCTTGGAAAATTGTTGATGGAGCACTTTCCTCTTTAGGAAAGTAACATCGGCAATTGTCTGGCCAATGACGATTTTCTTGAGAATGTTCTTGCATTAATTGCAGACTGTGGTTCTCCAGACCAGCCTATCACGGTGAATCAGGTCGACTCTGCAAAGGAGCAAAACCTTTATCTCAGGAAATAAAGGTTAAGGCGTGAGTGTGTCGTTCGCTGAAATCCAAAGCTGTGAGTGTACCAGGCTGAAGCGGAGGTCAGCGGGAGGTCGGGCTGCAGACTGGTTAAAGACTCTCTGAAAATGTCACACAAGCCAGGAATAATCCTCCAGCCCTCCGCCCACCGCTGCTGGAGGATGACACTGGGTCAGGGACACAGAAATCCCCTACTGGTGATGCTGGTCGCCACAGTCAGCATGACTTAGAGCTGTGCAGTACCTGTAGTCAACATTTAGCTTCAACCAGTGCTTGCTTTTCCACCATAAAGTGTTAAGTCACACAGAATAAGAGACTTTATTGTGTATTGGGTTCATAAATGTGAAATTTGGATTTAGCTCCACATGAGCCTCACAGTCGTCCTCTGGCTGAGCTCAAGATTTACAGTAATTTGCTCGTTCAGATTGTTGATATATTTTCATTTTTATTGGCCCTGATGTCTCTAATGTTGCACACAGCTGTGTTTGTTTGGGAATAATTGTGACTGGGAAAGAGCCCAATATAATATAATATAATAATATAATACTACAATATAATAGTTCCCAATATGACACACAGTATAGAAACGTATATAAAAAGCATTAGATTTTAACAATCTCCAGGTTTGGATAAATATGGAAAAAAAAAAAGAGAGTATGGAAAAGCTGTCCTTTGGCATTTATTTTCTGGCAGATAGAATGGAACATTTATGGATTTAAAAGCATTAATTTGTACAATAAACATTGAACTAGTTGTACGTGGAGGTCAAATGTTGTCTGGAAGGAAGTCTGGAAATATAAGTCTAGAGCAGTCTGGATATCTTAAAATGGAAAACGTGTAGAAACTCAACGTGTTGTCGAGTTTTTCCAGCTGTTTTTAAATCAGGTCTCCAGCAGCACAAAGTTGTCGGGTTCATTTAAATTCTGACAAACCAACAGTGATTAAAAGCATCAATTTTAAAAATTTTTCAGGTTGATCAGAGACTCGAGTTTCAAGTCGTGTGTTGATATATATATTTTTTTAATTTAAAGAAATCACAGTCGTTGAAAACGTCTGTTGATGTGACTCAACAGAAACTTTACATCGTCTGTGGGAGACAAAAGTCCTTAAAGCCGGCAGATGATGTAGACAGACATAATGGCATAGATTACAGTCACCCGATCCCTCTAATCCTGTCTGGCTGTCGGCCTGAAAGGAGGGTTAAGTGGTCTGATGCTGTGACATCAACCAGGAGTCATCATGATTACAATATGCACAGGCAGGGTTCAGTTTAAACATCTCCTATCTCATGGCACCGCTGCACAGATCGTATAGCTGACCGATGGCAGCGCTACGCCTGGAACCAGCCGCCTGGTGTTTGCACTGAAGCATCTATTACCTTTCATAATTAAAATTTTTAATGTAATTGAAAAGGTTTTATAACACAAAATATGAAACAGTGATTGTAAAATAAACAGTAAACAATCGCTGTGCATGTTAAAAGAGTAGATTTTGCAGAAATAACCTGCATTACCTGACGTTTGTGGTGTTTGTTTTCTGCTAGAAAGTTAAAAATGAACCTCGAAGAGGCAGCTAGAGTCAGAAAAAAATGCATCAGTGGAGTTTTTCTTTTACTCTGGATGCTGAAAACTCACAAACCTGTTCTTTAGTGGGTTTCTGGTTTCAGTTTTAACAGGTTCAGCTCCATAAAAATGCTTAAACCTGCACAAATAACTGCGCAGATTAAAGGTTTGCTGCATTTTGCTTTAAAATTTACAGAACGAACAAGCTTTTGCTGTAAATTTGTGGTGTTTTTATGACCAGGAAGTTAAAAAAGATTTAAAGATATAATGTGAATATCACAAAAAATGTTTAATTGTTTTAGCTTCAGATCCATAAAATAAACTTTCTGGAATTATAATCAAAAACTGTGTTCAAAAGAGTCACACCACCACGTAAACTAAAAAAACTCCTCGAAAATGAATCCTAAGCAGGAAGCATCAGCACCTAAAATCAAGCTTCTTTAGATTTTCTGATGTTCTCAAACATCTGTCAGCTCAAAGCCCCGTCAGTGCTGGACTGCTAACGGATTGTTTTGCACAAACATAAGCACAAAAAACAAGCATTTTGAATTTGCTGATGTGCATAAGTTATGTTAAGTTATGCAGAAGATATGCAGCAAGTGGCTGTAAAATAAGCTTGTCAGTGCTCTCTGGTGGATAAACCCTCTAATGGCCACACGCTCTCTGAATCACCTTAAACTCATCGTTGGCGTTGCTGTATTGACCAACGCATGCGCCAACTCCAGGATATGAGCGATTTGCTAAATTACACTGATAATATCGGCCGTTTCAGTGTTTTATTGGGGTTTAGTCAACACTGCAGCTTAACAAAGGTATTTTTAAACAGCTG